CTAGGTGCCCAGATCGAGAATAAGAAAGATAGTATAGTTTATATAAATAAATATTAAGTGGTTAAAGTTCTATGGTTTTTAAAAGTTGGATGGTGGGGTAAAAAATCCGGACTGCGTATAAATCCGGACTCCTTATGAAGTACGTTACTAACTTCCTTATAGTTCTTTTTAAGGTACGCTAATATTGTGACGGTTATGGTCACGAGGGCTGGATGTCACATGCTCGCTTAGCGAGGCGCTAGCGCGCACGACCTGTATTTAGTTCCCAGCTCTCTTGAGCTCTCCTTCTTTCCTCGTCTTTTGTCCTAAGAATAGAGTGTTAATTGTTCTGAGTTCTACCTGAAGCACGTCTGTCACAAATATAACCTAGAAAGCCGGTAAAGGTTTACTAAAGTAAGTTAGGAGATTATTATAAATCCTTAGATATTATTTTAATAATAAAACTTGTTATAGCCTTCTTTTTAACCTCCTAGATAGTACTTAAATTAGGTTATTATAGTAGGAGTATAAGCGTTATATATTATTCTATATCTCGCCTATAAAGTATACTATATAGATCCTTATTCTATTATAAAAAGTCCGATTTATTCTTAAGCTTATAGATCGAATCTATATTTTTAATATTAATATTCTTAGCTTTAAATATAGTAGAAGTGGGTAAAAAGGTAGGCAGAATTATCTTTGAAATATATAGAAAATAATACTTTTAGATAGTACTATAAAAAAGGGCTAGATATCTTAGAATACTATATATTCGTTAAGCATATCTATATCTATATTTTAGAGTATTTACTTTAAACAAATTAGCTTTATTATTTAAAGGGATAATATAGTAGGATATACGTTTATAAACGCTAGGTAATATAATATAGATATAGCTAAAATTAGCCTTTATACTAGAAAATTTATAACTATATATAGTAGTATTCTATATAAAAATACTATCTTTGTTCTAAAAATAGTAGATATTCGAATAGTCGAAATTCTGTTTTTAGTATCTAAACAAAGGGTACGATTTATTACTTATTCGTAGCGGTAAGCCGGGCTTATAATCTAATAAAATATAGTAAATAAGAAGCTTGTTAAGTACTTAATTATTCTACTATAGATACAGCTAGTTTATATATAGCTAGCTAACAAAGAGTCTTTGACAAAGTAGACGCAATAAGTTACAGTGGGACGGATTACGTAATTTCAACAAAATCAACAGTTATAGCAGGAGTCCGCGACCCCTCATCCGCCTCCTCAAAAGCTCTCTCCGAGCTTCCAGTAGCTAAATCCAATGTCCTGAATGTCGTGACCAATAAGGCGACCAACAAAGAAAGTGCCATACATGCGGCACTTGGATTGCCAAAGAAGCGTAAAATTGACTACCTTGACGTGGTAAGCGCTAATTGCAGGAATTTCTTACATATGGCCCACGTTGCAGACGCGGAGGGTAAAAAACAGGAATTAATCAAGAACATAGAGTATTTGCATCCAATCAACATCTTTCCAACCCCATCAAGCAAAGCTAAAGCAGACTCGTTGTTTGAATCATACCTACAACTCTTACCCTCCTTTCCCCCAAGAACTAATATTACAGCTACTTACACTTCAAGGAACATTTACGATGATATAACAACTTTAAGACTTATATAAACAACGAGTAAAACATCCTAGCTCTTACTAGAGATCCACACATACTGTATCTTATAACTTACCATCTACGTTCGATCATAGCGACGAACTAAGAGTTAAATCGAAGCGAACAAGCGATAAGCTACTAACACGTGAAAAAACCGCTATTCAGATATAAGCTCTCCTTTCCATAACTGATGGATTTACAAAATACAATGTCAGACTAAAATTGCTTCTTGACTATAAACGGCAAATCATGTGTTGAAATATGCATGTAATTTGATAGATCATTGTTTGTATTCAGTCAGTAAGTTATATCACCATTCGGATTATTCCTCAAGAGCCTCTTTCCAATATGTACGAGTTAGACCAAGGCATTTTTTTTATTCAAATACAAGCGAGGGAGCTCTACGAGGGAGTTCAAAAACAATGGTCAGAAAAGTGACTTAGAGAGATAGCAAAACTTTAATATCACAAGGAAAGTAAATCCGTAGGCTAGGTGGTGTAGTCATTCAATTGTAATCCATCTTCCTGGGTATCTCGAAATAGGAAATTCGTAAAAGCAAATCGCCGTGTAATGTACGAGTTGAGAAACGTCCCAGGTGAACTGCTGCACTTGTTAGCTACAAGCTAACAAATCCATCCATATACAAGCAGCAAGCCAGTTCGCCCCTTTGTAAAACTTCTCTCGGGAGCTTCGAATCATAGAAAAGAGCAGAATCCAAGCTACTGTACAACTAAGGAATGGCTTTAGTGCTGGGTCATAAGAAAGATGTCTCACATCATCTACGGGAGGCAGATAATTCATCAGCAAGACTTTAATGATATGTGCCAGGTGCCGGTCCCACTGGAGCAGTCAGAGCTCGGAAAGGCACAGCTCTCAAGCAAGCGCTGACGTTTGAGTGGTTGCTCAACAAGTTCAAGTAATCGTGAACCTGAGGCAGTATCTCACCGGGCTCATACATATCGCCAGAAAACTCCGGAATCTCGAGCAAGTTGAAAGGCTCACTCCTTGCCTTCTCAAAGGAATCATCTACCAGTACCGTATTCGTCTGATCCCATGTTCGTCCAGACTGATAATCTGGGTGTGTTTGCGCAATTTGCGGATCAGACCATACCTTTGTGAGCCGTTTGTAGCATTGTATCCGGAGGCTGTAATCTTTGGGCGTAAGGCCGAACTTGTCGCGACCCCAAATTGCTGCAACTTTTTGGCGAAGGTGGGGTGGGATGATGGCTTCGATCAAATTGTTGACGTTCTCAGGCCGGGCGGAGGACCATATTACAACGGTAAATCTATCGATGCAATATTCCAGGAAGCGAAGAGCATGAGGGCGGGCTACAAACTTGGTGGGTTGCTTTCTGTTCGGCCTGAATAAGATTGTGCCATTTAAATCAAGCACCACCAGGAGGTGTTGAGGGACTTGAAGCGGGACTGGCAGCGAAGCACTCTGTAGCATATATTGTGGTGAGGGATTTGGTATACCACCTGATGCTCGAGTGGGTGCGATTATTACATCCCGCGACATCTTTTCCTTCTTCTCCCCCTTTCCCTTCCTATTTCTTTTCCGCCTGCTTGCCTTCTCGGTCTCCGAAACCTCTAATGGGTCGAGCTCGGGTGGAGGTGGGGGGGTGAAGGGGAGCGCTAAAGCTGAGAGAGTGCTTTGGCTGGCCTCTAGTGCTGGTGTTTTCGATGATGAAGCTTGTAGACTTCCCATGAGGTTATCGAGCTTGTCGCCTAGCCTTACTGTTGACTCTGAAGGGTGCGGAAGCGAGGCTGAGGGCCAGGACGACGGCGACGGTGATGGCGATGGCGAAGATGGCTGTGAGTTGGGCTTCTCTGAGCTCGATTCGCCTTGTATGGGAGACAGCCGTCTGGGTGTCGACGATGCGGAAATTGTGCTCATAGCTCTTGCCTCTTGCGAGATGAGAGATCCCGCAGCATGCTGTAGTCTCCTGGAGGCGAAAAGTCGAAGCATGGATGGAGCATTCACTTTTCAAGCTGCTCCTACTGCTTTTGGCTGATCGCGAGCAAGCGCGCGAGGTGATGTTTAACTTGCTGGTCCGGCACCCGGCGGCACCATATCGGCTCAAGGACTTTTGGGCGCGCGGTAGCTGCTGCCGTTCCGCCCCCACCCATCAAACCCCTGCAACTTTAAATTCTGCCACCCTTCGAGCCTTCTTATCAGACTTCCTCCCCGCGAAAATATATCCAATAACTTCGACAGCCTCAACAAAATGTCGGCCCCGAAGAGAAAAGCACTTGATAGTGTACTACAGAGCCGGGTAAGAGCTAGACGGGAGCAGAGCGAAGAAATTGAGGATATCTCCTCAGGATCAGAAGCTGCAGACCCGGAACATGACGATGGGAGCAGTTCAGATGGTAACGAAGAGGACGACGGCAACGAGGTATGGTTTTTGCGCAACCCAATATTATCTAGTCTAATATTCAAGGTAGTCATCATCCTCGTCGGAGCCTGAACCTGAAGATGCGGCGTCCATTTCTTTTGGCGCATTAGCAAAAGCAGAAGCCACCCTCAACAACCCCAAGCGCAAAAAACGGCCTATAAAAGGCGAGAGTGTCGATACCTGGACTAACAATGAAGCAATTGAAAGAAAGGAAGGACGGAAAGATCGTAGAGATTTCAATCGCTCGAGCAAGCATGCGCCAACAGAAATATCCAGCAAAAAGGCAGTTTCCCGAAAACGAGAAGTCGTGCCTGTACCAAAACGCGAATACCGAGATCCCCGATTCGATGCGGTAACTGGTTACGTGGATGAGGCAAAGGTCCGAAAAGCTTATGCGTTTTTGGATGATTATCGAGAGGATGAAATGAAAGAGTTGAGGAATACCATCAAGAATACGAAGGATGAGGAGAGCAAAGAGAAGTTGAAGCGCACATTATTGTCAATGGAATCAAGGAAGAAGGCACAAGCTAGAAAGGATAAGGAAGAGGAGATTTTGGACAAACATCGAAAAGAGGAGAAGGAGCTGGTAAAGCAGGGCAAGAAACCATTTTACTTGAAAAAGACCGAACAGAAGAAGAGAGTGCTCATGGATCAATATGGGGCTCTTAAGGGCAAGCAATTGGACCATGTCATTGAGCGGAGGAGAAAGAAGGTCGAGGGAAAAGAAAAGAAGAAGATGCCATTTGCAAGAAGGGAGACCGGGTCATAATTACAAGACGATCAAATTTTGGAATCAAGTTATCAAACAATCCTCAAAGACGAAGTGAGAATCACCGCAAAGAAATATACTCACGATAGAATTCATTTGCGTATGCGAAAACCCTGAAATCCTTCGTAGCCTAGAGATCGGCCCACCTTTCATTTTCTTCCCTCAGCCAAATAGCACTACATGGACCTATCAAAGCTTTCCGTTATCAAATGCACAGGTTCAGAGAATAGGCGTTGCGTGAATACTGTTAGACGTTTTCACTGAACAAACTTCCATCAGTTCAAATCTCACGAGACCGACGAGAGTCCTTGTATACTATCCCAGAAGAATCAAGGATTCACTCTCGAACCTAACTCTAGTACCCTCCAAGCTCCGAGTCTTCATTGGAAAGACACCGTAGTACTCGTTACACGGACTAACCCGTTTTGAGTATTACCTCAAAGTCGACCACGTGAATAAACATTTTATTGCTATTTTTTGGATAACCTCAATCTCCTACGAACCTTCCACATCAATACTCAATTCCCAACCTGCACTCAGTCCCAGCTCAAAGTCTCAATAAGCAAGTTATAACTGCATATCCATTGCCATAGCCAAGATATCAATATCAATCACACATACATACACCGTGCATAAAAATTTAAGAAACTCCCAACCATGAGATATCTCAATACAACCAATTTGTCACCCCAATCTCCCAAACCACGACTCCAGACCCAGAACTCTTCAACCCACAGATCCTTGACGAGCTCTTCCTCGTAATCTTCTTAGTTCCTGGAGAAAAGCTTCTGGAATTAGACGAAGACAGCTAGATATAACTTGCTTATTAAAACCCTAAGAGACAAAAGCAGAAACAGTAACAGGCTTTTACCATCGCGGATCCCCATTTCGAGGAAGAGAGAATATCTCGATAGAACGGCATATCTGCAAGTCGTACTAGGGTTTTCTCTCTGCTATCAGGACTATCTCAAAGACTGAGATGATATCATGACTTGGGATGCAGTAGCAGTTAGGGATTTCTTGGTATTGAAAAAAAAAAGCTGTAGTACGAGGGGTTTGGAGATTTTGGATGTGAATAGTTGTTATTTGAACGGGTATCGTGGGGAGCTGAGCTTGGAGGGAATGTTTACTCTTCGTAAGGGTATTATGTAGGTATGCTTGCTTCCTCTTGATCGGCTTGGTTTAAGAGCGTGTCTCGATTTTTATAGTCTATGGGAGTTTGAAGAGGTACTGACTGATTCATTTCATCAGATCAATGTATTGGAAATAAGATCATATTTAAGCTATTCTCAGCATTCCAATTTACCGTGCAAGTACTCACTCGACTACAATATAAGTCTATTCTATAAACATATTCTCAGTTCCCCCAGAACCCCCCTCAAAGTCCGAAAAAATATCTTATACCCAAATCAAAGAAAGGGTGTCCAATATCGAAACCCCAAACATACTGGGTAAAACTAGCTTTTTTTGGGACAAGTAACTACTATAATAAAATCTCGGAGACGACAAGAGAAACTGACTGAGTGAATGTACACATATGGACCATATACATATACATAGTAATGTGAAGGTTCAAAATGCTAAGATTCACCCATTCCTCCTTTTCGCAAGAAAGAGCCCACCAAGAAAGAAGAAAGGCAAAGTGTATCCAGCAACTAGAACTGAATGAAGTGCGCTTTTGGAGTTCATGGCTTCTTCAATCTACGAGTAGGCGAGCCGAGTTTGGTAATTGCATGGCCCCACTGATAAAGAAATACCCAAAGAAAAAGGGTGGAAAGCAAGCAAATGCTACTGAAGTAGAATGCAGGCTAAATCTTAACAATTTGTTTGATATCTTGGATACGTAAGACAGGCGGCATTGATTCTTGGATGTTTTGGAGGATGAAGTTTCTGGTACTTAGAGAGGAGGATGACTATCCCACCCCAGCTCCATGTAATGTAGGATTCCATATACATAATCCCGCACAGCCTTGATGCAAAAGGCCATTCATCATATAATACAAGATGTTCCTGAATGGATTTGATCCACTATCCGTCGTAACGGCATTTCTCTCTTAACTCCCACGTCCCCAAACACTATAATCGAGTCTCATTTTTTGAGACCTCGTCCAATATCTGACTCTTCGCAGGCTTGTAATTCTCTCCCAGCTCCCCAACAACCTTCCCATGAAACCTAATAAAGTTATCCTTGTAAGGATTCGCCTCGCCCTCAAAGGCCTTCAGCCGATTCAATCGATCGTCTCTTAATCGATTCTTCGGTAACATCCCACTGACCGCCTTCCTCAACACTTCCGCGCCTCCAAGTTTCGTCATCAGCGCATCCATACTGATACTCTTCAGGTTTCCGGGTCGGGTGTTATGGCGATAGTAGAGTTTCTGCCAGCGTTTTTTGCCGGTTGTGTGAAGGGCGGAACAGTTGGTTACTACGACATAGTCGCCACAGTCTGTAGAGGGATCGTAGATGGGCTTGTGTTTTCCCATTAGAAGGACGGCGATGCGCGAGGCAAGACGGCCCAGAGGGGGAGGTGTGATGTTCGGGTTTGTAGCTGAGGGAACGGGTCGGATGGTGCTGAGGGCTTGATGGGGGGTCGAGGCAGAGATGTGGTGCCATGTTCGGGCATAAGCCAGTTTTGTCTGTTTTAGAGCTTCGATTAGTACGATGTTGATAAAGTTGCCATTGCGATTGCCATTTCTTTAAAAAGGCATTGAATGTATTAAATTGGCATTTGAAAGTTGAAAGGGGGGGTAGGAGAGATCTCACAATTCCAATATTTTGAGACATAACTGCGGCTTGCCTCGAGGCCGACTGGTATTATGGGAGGCGGGGTCAGTGATTGATCTGTATGCTGAATAGCTATCGCGATGGAGGTTGAAGATGTATGTGCCAAGACCTTTTTCTAGTCTCGCACCGGACCGGCGCCGAATTGGCTCCGACCACCTCAGATTTCAAATTAGCACCCCCGCCCCCGCCCATCTTCAACAAGAAGTAGTGGAGGTAAATGTACCTATATTCAGAAACCTCAGCCCGTTCAACTCAAACCCCAAGCAAACCTACCCTACCAGCCTACCAGCCTACCAGCCTACTCACCTACACTCCAATCGCAATGGTGGTCTCAGCATCTTTCCAAGTAAGTCAATTTTTCGTCATGACGTATTCATGAGAACACCCAACACTCCTTGCCAGCCGCAGGCGTCACCCACCACCCCCTCAACACTCCTTTTCCCGAGCAATCCGTTGATCCCGGTCATGGACTGTCACGTGTATCACTTCAATTCTTACCACCTCCCAATTCACAGACACTCTTTGCGGTGCCGATGACCTGTGAAAGCTGTGTCCAAGATATCTCAGCATCATTGTTTAAATTAAGTGGAATTGAGAAATTTGAAGCAAATCTCAAGGACCAACTTGTGTCGATCGAAGGAACAGGTTCGTACGACCTCAAGTGTTCTAAGAGGGAAGGAGGGACCCGTCAAAGCACAAGACTGACGTTTACGTGCAGCTGCGCCTTCAGCAATTGTTGCAGCCATCCAAGCGACTGGTCGAGACGCCATCCTTAGAGGATCAGGAGGTACCGATGGTAAGCATGGCCGCTGGAATCTTCTTTACGAGAAATGCTGAAGCGCAAAGGTGCGGCGGTTTGCATTCTCGAGACGCATTCTACGACAGTCGCCGACAAAGTTAAGGGATTGGCACGTATGGTACAAGTTTCTCCAACCTTGACATTAGTTGACCTTACAATCCGTGGTCTATCACCCGGCACTTATTGGGCCACGATCAGAGAAACGGGAGATATATCTCAGGGTGTTGTATCAACGAGAGGTATTTGGATCGACCCTAGAGAAAACTCGCTTCGCCCACGAGGCTTCCTAGGGACGGTACAGGTAGGCAAGGATGGGATTGGAAGTGTCTTTCTCGACAAGCCTGTTCAGATATGGGAAATGATAGGTAGGGGAATGATTGTATCAAAGCAACATGATGAGAGCACGAGCTTCAAAAAAAACGACGAGAATACTTTGGTAGGCGTCATTGCCAGGAGTGCAGGAGTGTGGGACAACAACAAGACGGTATGCTCATGTTCAGGGAAAACTTTGTGGGAAGAGCGGACAGACGAAGTGAAGAAGGGCATGCTGTAGTCATATATGGTACGACAAAGTGGGCTTCCAGCAAAGTTATGGGGTGATTTGTGGCGTGGCTACCAGCAGGCAAGGTTATTTCGCGGTGATGGCAAAATGAGAATGGCACCATGGTACAGTAGCACCAACGAAAGGGGGAATAGTATGGAAGTGGAAGTGGAAGTGGAAGTGGAAGTGGAAGTGGAAGTGGAAGTGGAAGAACAAGAAAGCAAAGATTGACCCATTTCAGCCGAATTTGCGACTCTGGCTCTTCGTGGCAGCTGTCAAACTTCCAATTTTCATGCAGGTGGGCACTCGTCGAGCAAGCCATTGGCGATCGAATCGAACACATGAAGATCAGGCTTTTCGTAACTTCGTTAGTGAGAGATGAAAGGCTACCCCCCACCTCCACCCGCACAAGCAGAGCAGTGGCAGGCGAGCCAAAGTTGAGACGATAGTGCAACGCCGGTGTTCTGTGGATCAGCCAGTTGAGCCGTCATGCGATGTAGAGTGACATGGAGTGACTTCCAGGATCGTGGACGCGGTACAATTTAGTGGTCCTTACTTCAAAGTACGGAGTAATTGTGGATTGTTTTTACTTCTTGTACTTGTGGGTACAGGTACCGTACGGACTGAATACTGGTATCTCCGTAGGTAAAACCACTTGTCAGTGATTCCTCTGCCAGCGACGTTCTCAAACGAGCGTGAGGCAAGCGAGTTTCGTCCAGCCTTATCGAGCTTTCTCTGACGCACCAAGTGTTTTGCGCCACCTTCGAGCGGCAAGCCCACAACCCGGCCTGCATGAGTTTATTCAGTGGATTCCTACACTCGAGTACCGGATTTAGGTAGAATAATGGTGCATCCTCATCCTTTGCTTTGGTCATGGGCTATGGCCTTGTCTGTTTTCTGATGTCTTCGACTGCAACAACTCAGATGCGCTGATCTTTGATACAGTACCTGGGTACTCTACTCGGTTACACTGCATTATCGTGAAAGCTCAAAGATGCTGCACGCGGCAAAGCAGGACCACAACACCGTACGGACCTAGTACCTGGGCCTACGAACTATACTGTACCTATAATGCCAGCAGCTACTGTCCTCACACCTCTGCCGTACCTACATATCCCCTCAGCTGCGGCCAGGAGCTCCGTGGCCCAAGCGTATTGCCAAGAATTCTAAGCGATCCAATAGAACCCAGTGTTTATACTAGTTTTGACTATATTTGGCAAAAACTATAAGATAACGGCCTTCTTTTATATAAATAATTATCAAATCTACTATAGATGTAGTAGATTTAATATATTATTATCGCTCTTATAATTTTATTAGTAATTATGTCTAATATACTCTTTTTTAGGGCGTAATATCTAGTATAAACTAGTACTAGTACTATTGTAGTCGAAATACTTTTTTCGGGCTAATTTGATAGTAGAATATATAGACGGCGAGCAGCTGGGATCTTTTATATCTAGTTATATATTTTTTAGTATTATAGGGGTGGTAAATAATAAGTAAATACAGATGTTGAAAGAGTTAGTGTTCTACCCCCTGTAAGCGACAATTCACGGAGCTCCTGGCCGCAGCTGAGGGGATAGGTTCATGCAGTGGTGCCTACACTCATCTACGTCACGCTGGATTGCTTGGCATCAAACGTCAATTGGAACTGTCCATTTACGGTTCAACCGTAAATAGCCCACTGAGACTTAGTCTGGAGCACGTGAGAGTTTCCGGGAGAATGGAGGCCGCCAAGGTAAATCATCTTGTCTTTTTGAACCTTTTCAGGAATGGAACCGCCTAGCTCATCGCTAACAAGCTTTTCATTTTCGGACCAAGGAAACTCGCCACTCGGTACTGTAGTACCACTACAGTACAGTAGTTTGGTCCTTTTCCAGAATCCAGCGTAGCCCAAAAGAGACCAACTTTTCAGGCTGTTACAGGACTTCGCAAATAATGTTGGTCCGATATAAGATGCCGGCGTCTCACGGCACCATCTACTCATACGCGCCCTGCGATGGCTGAAGGCTGAAGTACCCAGTCCCATCTACCCAACCATAGGCGACGACGAGCATCTTTTGGAACACCCGCCGCTTTGCTTTGGACTTCTGGAAATCAGTGCTTACGCCCACGAAGTTCGAACGCGCATGAGGAACATGTGGCTTCATGGTTCTCCATCCCCTTCAACTTGTCGAATGCATTTTATAAATTACTTTGCATAGAAAGTTGCAGGTGGCTTGCGGAAGGGATGCCGTGTGGTCTGGCTGAAGTCTGGTTAGTCTAGGAGATGTAACCGCTGATGCGGAGATTATATTGCGCTGCATGGTCTTTTACTACTCGGTAGTCGGGTACTTTGGAGTTCCCCAGACCATCAGACTGCTGTACCCTGAAGTCTAATGATGGTAGATCTAGAAAGGCGACAACAAGATTCAAAGGATAGATGGCGGAAGGCAGTGGTTGACTTGGCTATCAGTGGCAAGCCGCAAAACTCTTCCTCCCGAGCCCTTGGTGTTACTGGTACCAAGCCTTGAAGGATCGTCTCTTGCACGTTCATCCAAGCGAACCTTAGAACTTAAGGTTACGGGGGACGGCACGTGATCTTAGCGAGGGAAACCTTAGGATTGGTTTGGTTTCTTCGACCTTCTCGACTGTATTCTATTGACAGAATCATCCAGAAGGCGTATTGAAAGTTTACTTTCTACCAAGCGCGAGTACGTGCGTGAGGGTGCAACGCAAAGCAATCACATAGGTCGAGAGGTACAGTACGTACAATACGCCGCATCGGTAGGGAATATATATTTATGTATTGTACCAAGTAACACCAAGTTCTGTCCCCGCAATCACTGGTCACATTGACAAGCCGCGTATCCGTAGGCGTGTAGTCAGAGCCGGTGGCCCGGTGCCAATCCTCTGTGTCGCACGTACTTCGTACAGTACATCCTCCTGTTGATCACTCTCTCAGGCTCTCTCATTCAGCAATGCAACGCGCCTCCAGGATGTTTCTACTATACGATACGTTTCGTTTTACGGAGTACTGGTAGTGTACTGTACCAAAAGCGAGTGCAACTTAATTTTGGCCGTTGTGCTGTCAAGCTGTGAACGCCGGCTCGTACCAGCCAAATCCTCGCAACCTCATCCGCGGCACCAGCGGGGACCCTGTCGACACATCCAGACGACATAATTAACTTCCCGGGCGCTCGATTCGATTCTCCGGCTGGCGCTGATGATGCTGCTGCTGCTGGTGCATCGAGCATGAAGAAGATGCACTCAGCAGCACTTGGACCACCCCCCGTGGCGGGGGCCGGCATGCTACTGGTCATCTCGTGCCTCAGCTTTTCCGTCTGGTGTTTGGACAGTTTGGTGTTCCATGAACAAGATTCCTTGGATCACTGGATCACTAGGAAGGTGCCATTCTTGGTGCAGCAGCAGCGCTTCGCTACTTATTCGCTATTCGCTCTCCCCTCATCAACGACTGGCCTGGCAAGGTGTTACGCGCTGTGCCAGCCAGTAGTGCCGCTGCCTTCTCCACTGACCTCTGACCTCTGACCTCTTTTACCAGTCCAGTGCCAGCGATCCTTGGGATCCTCTTTTTATAAACCCGCAGGGTTCGTTGCTCCAGAGTCGTGCCGGTCGCTACAGTAGGCGAGGGCAGGCAAGGCACTACTGCACCCGAGTCCCGGCCGTCCCACCAGTCGAGAGAGAGCAACTTGCCAACTCCGAGCAACTCCTCACTTTCCCGCAGGTCCCACTCCCACTGCCCCCCAGCCCTGCAAAACCCCCCTTCCCTCCCAGTGTTCATGCGCAGTCCCTAGAGACGCTTCCTGCCGCCCACTAGTCCTCTCCCTCACTCCCAACCCTCTGTCTCTCTCCTTGCCACCCACCACCTCATCCACCTCTTCACCACCCACAGCTGCAAGCCAGCACAAACACAGTGATCCACCATAATTCAGAACTGTCTCTCTCTCGCAGCAGAAGATACCCTCATTCATTGAACAAGTTCAATACTCTCACTCGGATTTTTTGATGTTCTCGCACAACTCCTCGCTCGTATCCCACTCAACCCCTTGTTCAAATCCGCCTCTCAAGATTCGCATCGATCGATCACAATAGATACAACCCCAACATAATAACAACCATTTACGAGATATACATAATCATTACCGCTGGTCGTTGAACCCCAACAACAAACAGGTCGAATTTTTGACAAGGAAATCAGAGAGTTGGAAAGGAGAATCTAGGAAAAAAAGACGGCTCCATCACGGATCCCCACACCGCCCAAGAGAGAACTTTTTGGAAAACTCGAGGACACTTCACAATCCACAGCTGGTCGCTACGACGGCGACCAGCGAAATAATCATACGCAAACGGAAGAAACGGAATTGTTCTTGAGACCTCACAATGTCTTTGAAACAAGTGAGTCCGGACGCTTGGACAATAGGAGGGTGAGACGCTGACTCTGTATTTCAGGAAATCGAGACGTGGGTAAAGGCACTGGCCCATTACGATGGAAACGAATTCGACGAGGCTTTGAAGGAGTTTGATGCCATCTCAGATACCTCGAAAATTCTGTTCAATTGCGGTGTGATCCATGCGACACTAGGCGAGCATGAGAAGGCAGTGCGTCACAAGACTTCCATTTACTATATCCCTATTTGTTCTAATGATTTTCAGGTTGAATGCTACCAGCGAGCCGTGAGATTGGACCAATACTTAGCCGTCGCATACTTTCAGCAGGGAGTATCGAATTTCTTGGTGGGCGACTTTGAGGAGGCTTTGGCAAACTTCAATGATACATTATTGTATTTACGGGGAAACAACATGATCGACTATGCACAGCTAGGATTAACGTTCAAGCTCTACTCTTGCGAAGTACTTTTCAACCGTGGATTGTGCTATATCTACCTTCAGCAAAAGGAGGCCGGAATGCAGGATTTCTCCTTTGCTGTCAAGGAAAAGGTTGTTGAGGATCACAATGTCATCGACGAGGCAATTCTGGAGGAGGCAGAGGTATGGTTGATGAATTGCTCTTAATTTTATCCGCTAACGACTGCAGGGTTATACCGTTTTTTCCATTCCCGTCGGGGTGGTTTACCGACCAAATCAAGCCAAGGTCAAGAATCTGAAGACAAAAGACTATCTGGGTAAAGCCAGATTGGTGGCTGCGTCAGATCGGGCAAACGCTTTTACTGGCTTTGCTGGGTCAGAAATCAAGAATGTACGTAGTCTCCTACCTGCCTGCTAACTTACGCTAACTCCCTTAGGCTGGCAAAGTTGAGGTAAAGGACGATCGACCCGTGGAGAACATTTCATATGCTGCCTCGAATCTTGTCAAGCCTGGTCTGCAAAGCAAACGATCCGAACCGCCGCGCCAAGTCTTCCCACCAACTCCACCTCCAGAATCTGAGAAGGGAAGCACTACCTCATCTAGTAGTGGTGGAATGAGCCGTGGAGCTTCTGTTCGAAGCGGACAAAGGCCAATGCCCGCCAGGCTCAATACAGATAGAGCACGACCTGACGAGCGCTACGACATACACAACGAAAGATCCCCTGGAAGCCAACGATCACGCGGAACATCAAATTCACGAGGACCAACAAGAAGACCGTCAAGAGCTGATCCTCCTCCTCGTGATAGACGACCGAGCGTACAGAATAATGGCAGGAGGCGGTCGGAAGAGGAAGACGAAGATTACGGAGATGTTTACGATATGTACTCTGTCAGTGGACGTAGCAGCCGAAATCCCAACCGAAGGCAACCTAGGTACATCGAGGAAGAGGACGAATACGCAAGCGAGTACGATGATGGATCATTCGATGAGAACGATTTTGAAATGGTCTCAAGTCGGCCGCCTCCACGATCGCGTGCACCCTCGAGCGCTGGAGGTGGACGTGGACAGTCAAGAAGGCCCGACGTTCGAAAGATTCGTGTCAAAGTTCATGCTGAAGATGTTCGATATGTTATGATTGGGGTTGCTATAGAATTTCCTGATTTGGTCGATAAAATCAGGGACAAATTCGCCCTTCGCAAGCGCTTCAAGATTAAAGTCCGTGACGAGGATATGCCAAATGGCGATATGATAACTCTTGGTGATCAAGATGACCTGGAAATGATTATCATGGCTGTAAAGTCGAACGCTAAGAGAGAACGCTTAGAAATGGGGAAGTTGGAGGTAAGATTATCCTTGATAAATTACAACCATGATTTTGGCTAACTCTTTCCCCCGCAGGTTTGGGTGAATGAAATTTGAATGACAACCTTGACGATACCTTTGTTTTTTCTTTTTGGCGAGCCCTTCAAGACTTCTTTTTGCATCACAAAATATATACCAGCGAGCGATCTATGCATACCTAGATGGGGCAGGAGTACGATGTTTTTTCTTTACGTGTTAATCTCCTTCATGTGGAGCATATATCTTTTTTACTGTATACGTCTGTGACGGGTTATATATGTGTTGGAAGCGATGTTATTTCTTATTCCTCGATGATTCGAGAGAGAGAGAAAGATCTGTTAGAGGAAGCGATACGAGATTTTGCAAAGGGTGACCATTCTGTGCAAATACATCTACCACTTTCCATCTGATGAGAATCTCTTTGTGTATATTATTTTCGACGGACGTGACGCGGAATTTTGATTATGTTCCTCGGCTATATCATACCATACCTACTTATGAAGCAATCTTCTTACAACCAATGATCTAGTTTCCAAATTTCCCTCGACGTGATTCTTGGGGGTATTAGGGGGGGGCGGTGGTGCTTCGGAGACAGTACTGTGCTGTGCCTTACAAGTTGACAAGAAAAGATGGGAAAGGCAAGGTAAAAAGGAATGAACGGAGTTCTTGATGTTTTAGGTTCTTGTGGTCTCCGGAAGGATTGCTGGGTTTAGGTAGGTACGTAGGCTCGGTAGACTCGGTGGGGTATCTGATTAGGAAGGAGAGGGTGAGGGTGAAGGTGTTGATTGTTCAGTTCTTCTCCTTGATGCGTATTATGTGATAGTCGGGCATTTTGCCATATCCGTGTAATTTACGTCTTGTTCCTGGGTTTTGTGTACAGTACGTCATTGTGATTGTGATAGACCTAGGTTACATGTAGGGTTGTTAAAATTATATTATTATATAATATAATAATGTGGTCTCCATTCATTATATAATAATGAGGTCTCTAGATTATATTAACCCCACTTTTAGTAGTAAAACGAGCCTAAAAAGAGGCTAGAAAGGGGGTAGGTCAATCTAGTATAATACTCTCGTCTCGATATGGATTTTCCCCTCGTTCCTCGGATCCCTAAAAGAGATCCGAGTATAAGAGTCTCCAGGGAGACTCTTATACTAAGATTGGGGGTAGGTAGAAAGGGGGATTTCTTGGGAGAATAGCTTTGTATCTACCACCCAGCTCACCCACGGAGAATACTTTAGTAATACTCGCATTTGCCCTATCTAGGTAGTATTCCTTCTATCTCTAGCCGTATTAGGAGAAGTTACCTTGAAAGTCTACGAGAAACCCTAGGCTTCTATTAGCTGGAAATACTGCGGAGTGGACCGGTAACCCTGCTAGCGCGTCTTGGCATAATAATAATTAATAACGTACTTTTTCTTATAATAATGCATATAATATAACGTGGTCCCATTATACATAATTATAACATCCCTAGTTACATAAGGAGTAGTGGGCCTTTTTTAGTCTTTGAATGCTTAAGAATTGCGGAAATGAGCTTGTAAAGGGTTTAGTTAGCTGGCTTAGCTGGATTATGGTTGGAAGGTGTAGCGTAGTGGGACATGGATGGCTTGTGAGGACTCAGGAGTAGGTAGCGAACGGGAATTGGAAGGGTTCTGATGTGAGGTTTATAAGATTTACATTACATAGGTAGCCAACCTTTGTTTTGGAATTTGAGGTTGGATCTTGATGTTCTTGTCTTGATGTTTTTGATGATTGATTGAAATTGATAGGTAGTTTTAAGTCTATTTGTTTTTGGAAAGATTTATTTATGTAGGATGGTTTGATTTTTGGTATTAGTATTCATCTGGAATGAATACCGTGGCAAATCAAGAATAGTAGGTTGGTTCTCTTTTGGTTCGTTGTGTTGATAGGTACCTAGAAAACCCCATTTTGAAATCCGTGGTACTACCGTTGTAGGAAGTCGTAACTACTCTAAGTTTTTACAACCCTATTTCGACCTTTTGAATCTAAATACAACTGTTGTACGACGGTTGTACAATTGGGGATTTTCCTCTAAGTTAGAAGTGCCATTCAGATCATTTGATATCACGTGTCCGATGCTTCGATATCGGAGACTTTCAACGAGGTCCGAGTGGAGGTCCGGTCCCCGTTGTTGTTTTGTCATGGCTCCATAAGCCACTCCAAAATGTCTGATCAATCTTTTGGTCAGCGGGGAAGTGGGACACTAGTACCAGATACCGACAGCAACGAGAAGGCAATTAGCCAATAGGTAGGCAAGGTTATATTTTCGGTTTGTATTTTTTTCCTTCTCTCTCTTCACTCGTTCTTTTCTTGTTAAGAAGGGGTTATTCGTTCTCCCGACCTTTTGTTTTTCCCTTTCCCCTCCATGTTTTATGAGGGGTTTTGAGCTTCTAGATGCACTTTCTTGCGAGTGCTTTTGCCACTTTCTTCAAGTCTGGTAGGAATCTTGCGCTTGCGTATCGAGGGGTTGGAAGTCCTAGATTGTTTGCTGGCGGTAAAGCTTTTCGAGGGTTGAGTACTGTAGGGTATAGGTATAAGGCGTACGATACTATGGCGGGGTTACCGAATGAGAGCGCTATCTTGGAGACGAATGAAGTGAGGGAAGAGGCTGTAACGGAAATCAAAGATATTACTGGGGAATGCGACGGCAAAGATATGGTGGGAGAGAAGGTAGCTGTGGGTTTGGAGAAGAAGGAAGTGAAGGAACTGGAATCGAAAAAGTTGTCTGCTGCGGAGTTTAGGGCGTATAATAGTATGGCTGAGCATATGGAGTATTTTGTAAGTCTCCTGCTTTCCCCTCTGCGTAGGATGTATTTCGAAGAATTGCATGACTGACCAAAGTTAGCACAATCATTTCCGCCAAACGTGGACCTTCCTTGCCACAGCTTGTGCCAACAATCGTCGTCCTGCAAACACATCCCTCAAACAGTTCCTCTCCATCGCATCACAGTTTCTCTCCCACCTTGAAACTCACCACGCGATCGAGGAGCAGCATATCTTTCCCGTGTTGAAAAAGAAAATGATTCAATTCCAGGATACGGCGACCCTGTTACAACAACACCGGGAAATCCACAAGGGTATGGATGGATTGGAGCAATATATTAGGGAGGTGAGGAGTGGAGAGAGGGAGTTGGTGTTGAAGGAGATGGAGGAGAGGTTGCAGTGGGGGGAGGTGCTGTGGAAGCATTTGGATGAAGAGGTGAAGACGTTGGGCGCGGAGAATATGAGGAAGTATTGGACGGTGGAGGAGATGAGGAGGATGCCCATGTGAGGTGGAAGGGAGGGTGCGGTGGTTGAACTTGTAATTTGCGTTTGTGTTTACAGCGAAGCTTTGGGAAGCGAGTATTGAGAAGAGAGAGTCTGATGGCAGGTGTGACTGAGGTCCTTGAAAGGCGCTCCTTTGCAACGGGAGAAAATTCAAGTACGAGCCTCCCTCGAATCCGTGGATCCCGAACATTCATGAATGGAACTCGGTCCCTAATAGACTCGCGTGCTGAGCTGCGCCTGCCCTGGCTTTCTTATGGGCGTCGTGTCTTGGTTCGGCTCGAGATCGTTCCTTCCAGAGGCAGAAGCGGAATTTGACCTTGACGGGACCTCAACACCAACTTAGAAGACAGGCTCCTTCCCTTCCTTCCATTTCAACCTCTCGTTCTGGACTCTGGACTCAATGCACCACGTAGAGTGCCCACCTGCACTTGCGCAGGTCAAGACTCGCTCCTTCCCTCTATTACACGGCAGAGATGCAATACCCCTCTCCATGTCCAGAGTACAAACCAACCCCCCTCTTTTCCCCACCCAATCTTGGAAGGTTCTATCCACACAGTTTCGGTAGGTCAAAAATATATCGCTGGGGGTGAGTGGGCGATACCTACCTACCAATCTAGTAGCTATTGGGCGACAGTTAGCCTGGAGGAAAACCCTCATATTTACTTTAGAGGAAGTCCCTCATCTTTAAATCCGTACTACTACTAGAGGTAGGTATTTTAGAAGTTACTACTAAGGTACAACCGGTGTAGACTTTGTAGCAGTGTTAGCGCTGTCTTGATCTAAATGTAACTGTTGTACGCCATATATATATAGCAGTTATAAAGGTACTACAGTTGTAGCTTGCTTCAACTGCAGTACCACCGATTTCGGTATAGAGGGTTTCCATTCATCTACTTCTCTTATGTATATTGCATAGTGATGAACTCGATGCTGAGCTTAAGTGCCACCCAGCTTCTCTATACTCTATTATACCTACTGTGGCACAAATTCTCAATTGACCTGGAAAACTTAACCCCTACAAGTAAAGTTCTGCCATTGGTCGTTGATCGTTAATGTAAAAGTAAACGTCATTGCCCAAACCCCACAGCTCCCTAGGTAATTTGAAACTACCAGACTCCAGCTTGTACAGCCCCCCAAATCCAACTGGAAACCCCTATTTGTGTGGCTTAACAAAACTTAAAAAAGGGAGTTTGAAAGTCATGACATGAGAGGCGACACCTGCTTAATCGCCTCGAAATCCGCCTCATATCTCGCCTTTGCCGCTCTGTTCTGAATTTCATCCCTATTGCAGGATGCAGCTTCGTAGCTGGGTAATAAGCGAGCCCTGAATTTGCCTGGATTGAAGCTCATTTTGCCTTGCATCAGCCTTCCCAACAGGTATCGCGCTATAATAGTTCTTGATAATTCCAGCATTTCATGCATAATACAGTTACCTATCTGCCAGCTGTTGGCTCTAATTATTCGTGGGAGAATGGTATAGTAAGATCCTACCTTCTCTCTTGTCCCAGTGGGAGCACGGGAACACCTAAATCAGGTGCTCCGAGAACTTCAAAAAATTAAAAATTTATAAATCTACTAAACTCTCTAATTATAAAAAGAATACTTATCTATATATACCCTTAATATATTATAGTATTCTAAGTACTATAACGTTAGCTATAAGTAATTTTATTTTACTTATTCTATAAAAATCCCCCCTTCGAACTCCCTTAGATTTTTCAACTTCCTCGCTTAGCACCTAGCTAGTACTAGGTAGTACCTAGTACTTAGTCGGGCCGGTCGGAATGATACCTAGGCGCGCTACGGGGCTTAGTCCGACTATCGGGAACCTATAATAGGATACTTTTACTAGCGTTTCAAGCTAAATTACGTAACTATACGTACCGGCTACATATGTCTATATATCTATCCTCTGTCTGTCGTTCGTCTGTCTGTCGGTCGTCTGTCTGTCTGTCGGTCATCTGTCTGTCGGTCGTTGTCTGTCGGTCGTATAAGTCCCTCCCTCCTGTCCCTCCCTACGTAGGTACTGTCCCCCTCTCACTTCCTCTACTCGTAAGTACTATCTCCTACTCTCTTCCTCTACTCGTAAGTACTATCTCCTGCTCTCTCTTCCTCTACTTGTAAGTCCCTATTCCTTTTACCTATACTACACCCCCACCCCCTCTCCTTAGTAAGTAGTAGGTAAGTACGTAGACGTAGAAATAGTAGAATGCCGGTCTGTCCTTCCTCTGCGCAAAGCGACAGGCAGAGGAAGGGCGGATCGGAGATAAAGAATAGTAAGGGGGGCATTTAAAACGTGTCTGGAAGTACCTGAATCAGGTGTTTTTTGGCCATTTTGCACATACATCAGGTGTTCCCGTACTATGTAGGGCGGTGTTTTGGGAGCACCTGATTCAGGTGTTTTGCTCCCACTGGGATGTGACACAAATAATTCCCGATTAATAGAACTTTTACTCATAGAAAGGATTTGTAAGATTCAGCAATCAACTAACACCCGTGCTCCCTTCAGTCTTTCGTAAAGCAATATTTCAAATTCCTATTTCAATGAGGTGGCCGAAGGCGACAGCCCAATCGCTCGAGTCCCAACTTCCTTGCTAACCTAATTAGATTATATGCCAGGTTAAACTTGAGGCTTTCCACATTAGTCAGATGAACATGGCAGACCTAATAGACTCCTTTTCATGCTAAGCGATCAACCTTTTGAACGAATATTGTTGGCAAACTTCGCAACACCGCTCCGCTAGAAACATGTGCTAGGTAAACTCATTTTGATTAAGCCAGAGTTTAGAAGAGGATACCTGACATTATCGCATTTGGATGATCACCCGGTAAGTCACTATTACATCTCCCACCAGAGCCAAATCACAACAGTACTAAACCTCGATAGCGAGCCCAAGTGATAACCCTCTTCAATCTGTTCCTACTATCACGAGAGATTTGCTCGAAGGAAGGTTGCCGCAGAATCCAATAGAGAAATCACACCACTACTCCCGTAATCAACCTAGCTACCCACTCATCAAAACTTCTTTCCAGTGAAAAACTCGCCTTGCTCGCTAAAAAAAACAGGAAATGGACACATGTATCCATAGAGCCAAAACCAACGACTCGATGTCACCCCCACGTTTTGCATTTCTTTTCAAGCTCTTGCAGTTTCTCCACCAATACGTCCCTAATTGATGAGAATACGGATACCATGTTTGCTCTTTCGTCCCCAATTCGACTTCTTCGTTACTCCCATCCCTGGAAGTTTTGCCCTCAACCTCTTCTTCATCTTCCAAGTATAATTCTCGAGCAACACCGGCTCTCCCAACTTTTCCCATTCCAAGAGCTCTCTTCGAATGCCCAGAGAGGTCACCCTTGCGTTTGTAACCCTACTCGTCGTATTTTACAGCCATTAACCGAGCATCGAAATCTGCCGTTCTCAAGTACGTGAACGCTAGCTTGGTGGTACTTCAAGTCTCCGGAATTACTAAACTCCTTCGCTTTGCTATTGGAAAAGGTATATGTGTAGGGACGCAGGTACTCCATGCAGAAAATTGTTTCTGAGGTTGCTGTACTGGTACTTTCCTTTCGTATTATGACTGACAGCTTTTTTCAAAGGCTCACGCTTACGATATTTTGTTTTTGGAGAGGGAGATGAGTAGAGATTGTCTAGTGAACCGTTGTTTGTATGTGGAGTATGAATAAACAGTCAGTGAATATACTCCTTCTTTGGTCGAAATTTGTCAAGTAATAGAATAACTAGCTAACAATTTCCGAGGATGATTTGTTAACAGAGGAGGATCCATGGAAAGACCCAATGTAAAGCTGCCCTAGAGCATACTAAGAATAGCCCAAGGTCGTCTTGGTCCCAAGTCTGGAGGATGACAGAGCACAGATGGTACTTGTACCTTTCTTTTAGTAACTTCTGTAGCTTTGAAAAAACAGAAAAAAAGACAACGCCTTTAGGCCCCCTAGCATCGTAGCTAGCCCCCCCCTTTGGAGAATCCCATCGTTAGGGATAGAGTTTTTAAGGGTATTTTGTAGGGGGTGGAGGGTAGGCCGCAGCCCTCCCTCCCTGCGATAACAGGTGTTGTGTAAGTGGCGTATATAGTATATAGGGAAGGGAACACCTACTAACTACTTAGGCCAGGCGTGCAGGTTTAATCCTAGTTTTAATAACAGTAGCTATCTCATTTCAAGACATTAATCTCGATTTACTACTTTTATAGTGTTTCAACTAAGCGAGAGTTTATGATTAGTGCAGCGGGGGTTGAGGTGGCCAATTTTCAGGTGTTGCGTTATTATAACAGTCTAGAGAGCATCGTGAGCTCGCGTCGTGTGGATTGCGTGGCAACCAGAAATTCAACAAGTGTGGATACCGCTATTTACCTACCCAAATTACTTATGATGAAAATCTGGAGGCTATCTCAAGACTCACCCTCAATACTAATTCTCGCAACCTGAACAGAAAGAGTTTGATTCGAACTCCGCAGAATAATTGATTTATCAGCCTAGCGAGCCCTGACATGGGAACCAGAAGTAATAGATACAGCTAAATCTTGGGTTCTTCTAGGAAACTTGAGTGGCTTTGAGCGAACGTTGATTTGGTATACAACAGACCAATCTGTAGAAAGCATATTTTATGTTAAGTAGTTGTCCTGGGCTTTTCTGTCCTCTTTATTAATCTGGTGGTAAGGACGGCAATGTGTGCATTACTGCTCTACGAATGAGGAACATGAACCAAATGGTCCAACCTCACTTGACATAGATGATAGAATGTAGAAGGACATGCGAGGAATCGAATTTGCATAATTATTCATCAAGTCAATATTACATGAGCCACCAACGCCCCCATTTCCTTGATATACCAACTGACTCCTGTACCGACTACCGACCATACATACATCACGATATATGAGCTCACAGAATCATGCTGCGCCCTGAACGATCTTGAAACCGTTCGCTACCATTTTGGTAATCTCTTCGTTCTTATGTTGCAACAAACTAAGAGCATAAGCAACGTCGTTCCACTGTCTTTCAGTTTCACATCTTGCTAGTCTTGCTGCCAATTTATCTGCGAGTTGCTTCGCATGTTTATCCTGCATAATAGGTTAGTACTTCGATTGCTAGTAACTTGAAAGCAGACATACCTTTTCGATAAAACCAGCCAGGAACTTGAGGATCCTCTTTAGTGAATCTTCCTCAAGCTCCTTCTCCGCAGATAACAAACTGAACATATCAACAAAGTGGTTATACACGGCGTTGTCCTTCGTGCTCAGTTCGGTGAAGAACATGCGACTCAAATCTGCGATTCGTTTATCATCATCCTCAAGACATTTAGCCATTTCACCTAATTGACCCTTGACCTTGACTTGACCAGCAAGAATGAGGAATGTCAAAGTCATCAAGCATGTCCGCTTCACACTGGCATCCTTATCGTTGAGACGACGATACAAGAAGTCCGTATTCTCGTCGATAAGATGGTTGAAGCAAACAGCCATGTCACCTAGTGCAATGACAACATTGGAACGAGTGATAGGGTCCTTGGATCTCTCTAGGATCGTGATGAGAAGTGGAAGATTTGCCTCGCAGTATTCTGAGCTTACACACATGAGCTTCGCCAAGCAGAGGGTGGCAGCTGCTTGGAGATTGCGATCCTTGTAAGTTGTGTTGTTGGAGCATATTTCAGACACAAGCGGTCCAAAATTTGCTAATAACGAATTGTCGCCATACAGAAGCTCCCGTTCACGGATGTGTGACATTGCTTCGGTAAAATCATCTTCGGTGGTACCGCCAATCATATCCAAATCATCGGCTGCCTCTTTCGCGGACTTGTCTGCTGGAGCCTCTGCTGCTGGCTTGCTCTTCTCTGCATCGGCCTTGCGTCGCTTGAAATCTAGTTCACACAATTCGAGATGAACAATTTGCTTGATAGCAACGTGGCCAACGATAAAGAGAAGTTGCGAAAGTGCGACAGATCCCTTCAGCTTCTTCTCCCCAGGTTCAGCTTCCACAGAATCGGCTCGCTCTTCTGGGGATTCCGCAGTCGGTGATGATGGCTGTGATCCATCTAGTTCCATTTTTTCCGGCTCAGGCGATTTTGCTGTTCGCTGTTGGAAGACCAGTCTTGTTTTTCGTCTTAGGATTTCCGAGCACAAGGTATCTGGATGTCTTGAGAGGGTATATATGGCACTAATAGCTTGCTCAGCAACACCATACCATTCCTTGTTGTCAGATTCCACCTCAATAATGGCCGCAAGTTTACCGAGAACAGCGTGATCATTGGAGAGCTTGGAACTTTGTACTTTGGATTCCTTGGCCTGCCTTCCCGTTGGGTTGATTCTCCGGAGCGCAATACAAGTGTATTTGGCGAGTTGTAAATCGGATCTGCCCAAGCTTCCCAGCCCAATTCTCAACATAGTTTCCATCTCACCAACCACGATCTCTGGCTTTGCTGTCGCAAGCATTCCCAATACTATGATAGCTCCTCGCCGTTGACTCTTGGAAATTTCTCTCTTTTGGACACCGTAGACTTGCCAAAGCTTCTGCACAACCAAATCAGATATGTGGTTCGAATTCATCATGGTACTTAAGAGCTGCTCCAGGGATGTTAGTTCCGCAGGCGTTGCTCCGAAAGTCAAACTAATCATGTTGCGAGCGATATAGTTTGCTGCATCGTTTCCGTTGTAGGTGTCGGGGGCCTCGAAGAAGAGACGCTTGTAGCATTCGATCAAATGATTTTGAACACCCTTTCCTTCATCGCTGTTGCCCTTTGTCCAAATTAGCCGTAGCATTCTTCGGATACCCAATTTATTTTGTTCAATGTTGTAGGCATCTCCAATTTCGAAGTAATCCATTGCCTCAATAACCTCACTCTTATTTTTAGAGCCGAGCAACTGACACACAGTTGTGGTAGCACCATGCAGCACCTCGATGAATTTGAGGGCTTCAACATAGTACCGCCTCGTCAGAGTCAATTTGTTCATCGCCTCAGACGTTGCAGCATCTTCCTGGGCCTTCTTGACGGCGGCAATCTTTTCTTCATCAGTCATCGGAGTTTGCTTCTGTGGGGAATCGGGCTCGATAGCCGTGGCATCGTCTAGAAGAGCGGTATCAACGGTTTTGTCAGCTAAACCTGGTGTCTCCTCGGCGGGTTTGAGAGCGTTCAGTTCCGCATCCACAGCAGCAAGTCTAGCATTCCATTCTTTTAAAGAGAGCTGCGACCCATGCATGATGCTGAAAGGATGAGTCTTGATCAGAGATCCAAGCAGCTTAATCGCGTTTCGTCGGACATTACTGCTCTTGTCCTCCAGACTTCTTGCGGCTAATTCCGCAGCCTTTTGCCTTCGTTTTGGAAACTTCTGCTCCAGGTCACAAAGTTTGACGTAGACTTGAATAGTTCGGCATCGACAATATGGGTTAAGGTCAAGAAAGCGCTCTTCAAGCACATCGAAGAATGCATTCAGTTGTGATTTGTGGTTGTCTCCACGCTCTTCCTGTTTGCTCAAGTACGCTAAAAGGTTTCCGCATACTTCGATGAGAGAGCAGCGCAAAGCATAGGACTCACTATCTAATTGCTTCGCCAGCAGGGTCATTTGCTTTATGACGAGTCGGGGTGCAAGCTCAGAGAGCTTAACCATAAACGAAGAAACCGACTTTGGCCCTCTTGTGTCATTGCTGTTGAACTCCTTGTTGCTCAATTCTCGGAGGATTTCGTCAACAAGTTGTGGGTAATCGTATTGCTCTGCAAGAATGTGAAGGAATTCGGCCATGGGTTCCGCAAGATGTTCAAAGTAAGTAAGATTTTGCACAATGGAGATTTGGGCAGCTAAGAGTGCTTATTAGCAATTTGGTCTGGACGAAACCACGGAAAGTCGTACCATATCCATGTCCATGGTGCTTAACAGCTATGCAGAGAAGTTTGAAAGCATGCATTCGAATGGCAGTGCTTTTGACTCTCTGCTCGCTCTCCAGAACCATATACACGGGCCGTGTGAACAAGCTTACGAATGTGTCTCGCTCAGAGGTTGTGAGGAAGATTTTCGAGAGTTTCAATTTCAGTACCTTGCACATGGTATCCAGAGCCGTTTGGAGCTGGGCGGAAGAATCCCAGTTCCCATCTTTATCCTTACCTGCCGCAGCCTTTGCTTTGGCACCCTTCCCTCGGCCTCTGGCAACTGGCGCTGCTGTTGACTTTTCTGCCGCCTTCGTTTCGACTGCTGCGACGATCCATTGTAATAGAAAACCGAATAGTTCCAGCAATTGTTTGTGGTGTGAGATAATATCCTGCTCGTCTGATTCGAGGTCGTTGTGGATGATGTCTGCCTCGGCCGAAAGACCAGACACGACAAGATCGAGGATCTTGCTCAGTGCATGTGTAGGAAGCATGGAAGAACATCTAGATAGTTTGAAAAGTTCAGAATCTGGTTCCGTGGGGAAATTGCGATGGGACTGGAGGGAGACAGGGACACACTTTAGGAGAAACTGTAGGGAATCAAAGGAAGAGCTTCTAGTTATTGCATCCGGGTTCTCTGCCACCGAGTCCACGATGGGGTTGAGCACGGTATTGATGAGGGAATTGGTGAGCGACTCGGGGTCATTTTCGCAATCGACGAGGGCAGAGTCGGCTTCGGGTGTTGACACCGTGACGGGGTCGCTCATATAATGCTTGAGAGCATCGTTGATGTCAAAACTGATTGTGTCCATGGTGGCGATGGCGAGAGGGATCACAGTATTTCACGGCAGATTGCAGACATGAACGAATTGTCTTTGCGTGGTGGTGAGAGGGTTGTCGTAGGCGCAAATCTTGCTTGCTGATGGTGTTGTCGTTTCCCAAATTTGACACAGGGATTATTTACGCGTTCTTGTTGACTTTTGTTTAGCGTTGCCGCAGTAATCCTGGTGGGCTAGGGTCAGCCCCGCGTCGGAGGTGCAGCACAGCACCCAGGTACGAGCACCGAGTACCTGCGAAACAAATATTTTGGAGCGAATGCGAAGCTATCAGACGACACCATTCCGGAGGAACAACGACGCAGGGCAACTATTGCATTCCTACACTACAGCAGGATCTCGGCTCTTCCAGTCTCCAGATGGCGACAATTCGTCCTCGAAGCGCCAACACAAAAACCCCCTTTGAAATCCACCGGGATGGTCAGAGTGGTGACCACACGACTGAAGGCGGCGATGAGCAGGGAATGGAGGAATCGCGTGGTGAGGGCGACGAAGAGGATGCACTAGATGAGAACTACGACTCGGATGAGAGCGACACCATCGTAGACCCTGTAGTACGTGAGGATATGACCAAGTTCCAAGAAACATTCACTGGAATCAAGGAGCGATTCCGACTCATCAATCGCATTGGGGAGGGTATGTTGGTATCCAATGTTATATCCACGTGCACTAACGCGATTTAGGTACCTTCTCTACTGTGTACAAAGCAGAGGACCTTATGTACGACGCATACCTCAACGACTGGGATCTGGAAGAAAAAGAGAACAACAAAACCTGGAAATCACCACCAGTCAAAGGAGGAAAGCATGACGTGGATCAGTATGGAGAGCCCAAGCGACGGTCCAAGTATGTTGCGATCAAGAAGATTTATGTTACGAGCAGTCCCACGCGAATCTTGAACGAACTGGAGCTTCTTCATGACCTGGAAAGATGCGACTCCGTATGCCCTCTCATCACCGCTTTCCGAAACACAGACCAGGTCGTTGCAGTGTTGCCCTATTTCAGGCATACAGATTTCCGCGACTATTTTAGAAATATGCGGATATCTGAGGTTCAGACGTATTTCCGGTCACTGTTCACGGCTCTTGCTGCAGTACACGCAAAGGGTATTCTTCACCGCGATATCAAGCCTACAAATTTTCTCTATGATATCGATAAAGAGCGCGGGGTACTGGTTGATTTTGGGCTGGCTGAGAGAGAGGGAACTGATTGTAAACCATGTCTGTGTCAAGACAGAGTCGAGGAACGACGGAGACGTATACAGAACAGTGTAACCGCGCAGGTGGGACCATCAAGTGGCTATCCAAAGCACGATTCTCGTCCTTCGCGGCGAGCGAACCGAGCTGGCACGCGTGGTTTCAGAGCGCCCGAGGTTCTCCTCAAATGCACAGAGCAAACCACAAAGATCGACATCTGGTCAGCTGGCGTCATCTTACTCACGATACTGTCAAAACGTTTTCCATTCTTCAATTCGGCAGATGATGTGGAGGCAATGATTGAAATCACAACTATTTTTGGTGTGAAGCGGATGAAGCAATGTGCTCAACTGCATGGCACAGTTTTGGAAACCACCATTCCTACTATTGGATCTCATGGATTCACACTCGAAAAAATTATCTTATGGTCTTTGTCAAGAAGCGGTGACGACGCTGAAACCGGTACACCATTGAGTTCAGGAGAGAAGCTGGCTATGAGATTTCTTGAACGGTGCTTTGAGCTCGACCCTAATAAGCGAATCAGTGCCCAGGAAGCACTTCAGCACGATTTCTTGAGAGTAGACGAACCAGAGACTGAATATGATGATGATCTGGATGTTATCCAATCCAACCAATGATTATATTTAAGGCGTTTCCTGGTGGAATCATAGCGGAGTTTTATGAGGGCGGCGTTTTTGAGAAGAGAGGGGTTCTTGTACATATTAGTCCAGCTGTTGCTTCTTGCAGTTCTGAGATACCACTAACACTTTGCAGCGTACATAGTTAATACAGTAAATTGAGGTCACACTATTCATGTAAAAATCTCATGTGCTTTTGAGATTTGGTTTTGTGTTTTTTCATTCATTGAACTCCGATAGTAGAAGCAAGCCAATCATACTAACTGTGGTGCATGATACCTCTGCCCATCTTGCCAGTCCACGATTCATGCACATCATTTCCCAACCCAATTCCTGAGAAGAAAATTTACCACGCTCACGCAACCAACTCAACAACGCCACCAGCCTCTGTAATCTTTCGCTCTGCCTCCTTGCTGAACCATCTTGCGCGGACTACTAATGGGACTTCTGGAATTCTGCCCTTGCCGAGGACTTTGGAGTATCCGAGTGGGAGGAGGTCGAGAACTGGAACGGTGTCTGTCTTTTTGCCGGCTAGGTATTCGTCGCGCTTCTCAACAGGTACGAGGGACCAGAGCTGTTGATTCAGTCGAATTAGCAATTGCAATGTATAGTAATCCACAGAATATTTCCTCGTTCATTGAAATGCCCCAGCCCTCTCAATCAACCTCTTCTCCCATCTGAGCCCATCATCTCGCTCGCCCTTCCTGATCTACCAAACTCCCAAGTAAAATTGACGTACCTTGTCCAAGTTGATAACTGGCTTCCAGAAGTGGTTGCCTTGCTTGTGGAAGTATCTCATACCGACCTTTCCGAAGTAACCAGGATGGTATTTATCCATGTTTGTTCTGTGGTGATGCTGTCCACCAGCAAGACCTCTACCACCGGGATGCTTGCGGTGCTTTCCTACACGACCCTTTCCGGCGGAAACATGACCGCGGCTGTAAAAATTGATACGTTAGCATATGCCCGTTCAGTCTCTCGCGGTCCCCCGCCACAATCGCTCGATCTGGTGTCGTGTCGTCGCCTGGTCGAATTTTGTTGCGGAGAGCCCTTGGCTTCGTTCTAGTCCCTCCAGACAGAGCGCAAACGGGGATAGGTCGAAAGGAGAGTATGGGGAACGTACTGCTTGCGGGTTTTAGAAAGGTGAGTAGGCATGACTGGAACGCTGTTGTATGGCGATTCCTGAAGTGGTTTGTCGTTGACTTTGAAAATCAACTTTTGGCGCAATATTGCTGGCTGTGGGATTTGTGCGGGCAAGCGAGCGACAATCTCACGCTAACGTACCCCTGCCGTCCACTTTTCTGAGCGAAGACAGGGACGGAATCGGGACCGAGACCGGAGATAACCCCGGCCCCGGCATGTCTTCGGCGGCACCCACCTCAAGTGCATTACTTTTCGAGTGTGAGGTCTCTCCAATTTGGACAGCACCTGCCTGCTACCGATATTTTTGGTCTAATTGGTTGCTCAGCATAGCAGTCAGCAACCGTCAAGATATCAGATACTGGCTTGCGTGGGCAGCACTGTCTGGTAGGTATATAGGCATCTGCGGAGGTACTTGAGTAGAAACCACCTGCAAGATCCATCTTTTTCCACAATCATGTGACGGTGAGAGTTATCGCTAATGGAATTGGAAAAAATGATTCAATGCGTACCCACCATACCTACTCGTACCATCCATTAGGAGAAACGTTGCCTCCTAAGCGACGTAGTACAAAGTCCCCCAAGTTCCGAGTGGAAGGCTTCATTTCAGCCTCGCAAACAACCAACCAATAACTGAACCACTTCCCAGGGGCGAGACTTATTATTACCTACATATGGCTTACGAGTAGAGTACCCCTACCTCGCCCTATCTACCTACTTCTTGACGTTCAGACCAACACCCGCCCGACATCTCCTCACTAACATCCCACCAAATAAGTACAAGGGACCAAGTACCATTCTTCATAACCCCTCAATCGCCAAGTCTATTCCTCGAAATCTGTCGATAATCTATGCAAAGGGAAGATCGCAATATTCCCACTCGAATGTTTCAGAGCAGTTGAAGCAGGAAGCAGCACAATGAGCTATACACACCACCAAACCCCGACGTCATCCTCAGGAACATCTACACCCTCTGGTAACGGTGGCCTCTCCTCCTCATGGACATTTCCTCAGCCCCTCTCTAATGCCGTTGGTGGGCTGCTGCGGCGTTTTGCTTCTGATCCTCCACACAAAAACCAATCGTCGTCGTATTCTCCAACATTTCCCAAAATAGATCAGAACGGCGAAGGGGCAGATGGTGTATACACACCCCCGTATCGAACAGCATCACCTTTCCAACCACCGCCTCTATATCCTGTGAATTTGTCCGGGTACAAGGCGGGTACATCGGAAAGTGCAAGGTTGTTAAATAAGGCGTTGGCAGAAGAAATCAGGTTACTCGTTCCTCCCAGGCTACAACTAGTTGAGGAATGGAAGTTGGTATATTGTTTAGAGGAGGATGGTGTTAGTCTGGGTACTTTATATAAAAAGGCTGATGAATTGCGGGGCCTGAGAAATGGATTTGTCTTGGTGGTTAAAGACGGCGATGGAGGGGTAAGTTTATATTATTTTTACCAGCGCCCGAAGAAAAGAATTCAAGCTGACTCCAATTTCGATATAGTTATTCGGTGCCTATCTGACAGAAGCTCCCCATCCTAATCCTCACTATTTCGGAACAGGCGAATGTTTTCTCTGGCGTGCTTCGATTATCAGCCCAGCATCCACTGCTTTTGTCTCTACTCTCCCTCCACCACCATCCGCCGACACCACAAATGCAACACGCACAACCACAATTTCCGCTCCTCCCATGTCGCCTACAAATCTACTCCTACCCTCCCCGCTCTCAGCTGGTGCCTCGACGCCCGAACGTTTACGATTCAAAGCATTCCCGTATAGTGGTGTAAATGATTATTTGATGTTTTGCGAGACGGGCTTTTTGAGCGTAGGAGGTGGAGATGGCCATTATGGACTGTGGTTAGATGACAATTTCGAAAGGGGAATCAGTAGCTCGTGTCCAACTTTTGGCAACGAGCCTCTGAGTGAGGAGGGGCAGAAGTTCGATATAGTGGGGGTGGAGCTGTGGAGCGTAGGGAATTGAACGCATTTCTCGGTGGTGGTATTCGAGGAGCATGGTGGATAGGGTAGTGTGTGTCTTCAAATCACACACATGCCCAAGGGAAAACAGAACATCTACGGTCTAGGTGGAGCGCGATGTGGAATATGTGATACCCGTTATAACGTTGTTTCTGCTTTATCAGCGTTTGGAGGGAAATTTGGAATATTATGGTGTAATCGGCATTGCTTTCAGGGAGCGAAAATCATAGACAAAGGCAGGAGTTAATTCAAAATATGCATGGTCACAGTTTCCCATAATCCAGCTAATATGTATTATGGCTAAGTTTAAATACTAAACTGCGGATCATAAGTCCACACAACCAACAACTTATCGTAGAAGCTTGTGCTGACGACAAGTCTTTCTTTTACACTGTCAAGTTGACCGCCATTGATGCAACTTGGCATCAGAGGCTGTACGTCACTGGCATAATTCATACTCTTATGCTCCTTAACATACCCCACCTCTGTAATCTTCCAACTCTGGGCCCCATCAAAGTCCAGTTCCAAAATTTTGGCACCAGCATGCATACAAGAGGCAAGAATTCTCCACTTGAGAGCACCTTCGGCCTCCTTAGCTAGAGAGTGCTCCTCTAAGAACTTCAGCCGCCATACACCACCTCCAAGTTTGAGATCATTGAGTAATCTGGCCGGACGTCCGGGAGAGATGGTGTATAGAAGGATAGTATCATCGTAACTACCCGTCAGAAACATCCTATTCTCAAGAAACGGCAGGGGAAGAATGGCAGTAATTCCAGCATCATGTCCTCTGACCTTTCCAGAGCTGGTGAACTCTGCTTCGACCGCTGTATCTTCGTTCATTCCTTTGAGGTTTGCATCCACGATTTCCAGTTGTATGTCATCGCCCCCGGTATAAACATGATTCAAACTTGGACAGACGGCAGCAATCCACGCCTCTGCATCGTGTCGACAAATGGGCATCTCGTCATTCAAAATTTCGTACCCCTCAAACTCCCAGTTCGAAAATTTGATCAGGTGGACTTCGCCAGTATTGATGGTTGTGACCAGCATTGGAATTTGTGATTCTTTGGTGGTAGGTACCCATGTGATTGAGAGAACGAGGATATCCGGAGGAAAAACTTGATGTGTAGTCATATGTTTGATGGTCTTCCCAAAGTGGTTCTCACCCACTGGGGATGAAGTGGTTCTGTAAAAGGAAATACATCCCGTACTTGAGGCAACGGCAAGGATTTGGCGGTTGGGTATGAAATGAAAATCCAGTATGCCAGCAGGGTAGGGGATTCTTTCGACGAGAGTCCTACTCAAGTCGTCAGGAGAGCTAGCCACTAAGCTGTAATACATTGTAGGGGAAAAAGAGATATAAATAAAGGTAAACAAGAAAATGATTGTAGGAAATGAAAAATTCCATGTCGCTTACAGCTTTTTGTCTCGGAGATTGAATAGGTTCAGACTACCATTTCGTTCTTGAGGCATTGGAAGAGACGATGGCTCTTCGTCATCGTCATTGTCTTCATCGTTCGGCACTTCGTTTGGCTCTGTAGAAGCAGAGGCCTGCAAATGATAGGTACCGACAATAAAGTAATTGTCCGAATCGGTGGGACCTGTCGTTGTAGAAGATTTTTCTCGAGGCACAAATTCGATACAACTTGGCGGAAGATCCAAGATTTCGGAACACCGCCGTTGAATATTTTTGCTGTAGTCATCCGCTTTATAAATATGGTCGCTGGATGCCATTGTAATGATTGCTGGTCGGTTGTCGGTTGAGAGAATGAGAGAAGCAAATAAGTTGGCGATAACGAGGCCCATGCGCCAAGGCACAAGTACCTCGAGTACTTGCTTGTTTGAGACCGTTTGACTTCCCCACGAGGCCGTCAAACGCTCTTACATCATTTCTTGCATCATTGTCTTTTTCCTTTCGGATCAAGATCAGAGATGTTCCATGTCTCAAGTGCGCATCCTATCACACTTTCATAAAACAAACCGAATCGTTGTATTTCTCGACAGCGCAAGGCAATTCCCCTGATAGTCGGCTGTGGTCGGTAACCTTTCCAGTAGTTGGGCTGGTTGTATCGTCCTTTGAACTCTATCCACCAGCGCCACTTTATCATGGCTAAGAAAGAGCGAGACAACAGAATAAAGATATCAGTCCCAGACGCAGGCTACCTCTCGGACGAATCTGACTTTTACGGTAAAAATTCGACTCCTAACAGATTCGATTCCAAGACCTAGACTAACATGAAGACCTCGTCAGGTGATGAAGCGACGAAGCAAGAGCTAGAAGAGCGGATTGATGATTGCGATTTTCGGGAATGGGCCGAAAACCATGGCCGGTCTCTTGAGGAAATCGCTGATGCCAATTTGGAACTCAGAAAGGGTCAGAAAGAGGAGAAGTTCTCCAATCCATATGAAGGTCTTTCCTGTGGCCGTCAACTTGGAGAGCCGGTCGAGGATTTCTTGAAGCGCCTTCCGCCGTCCAGAACACCTGCGAGCCAAGAAATTCCCTGGATTTTTGTCGCCAATCCCTATCGCAAGGTCGAGAAAAAGATAAAAGAGGGGAATGATAAAGACCTGGTGGTTGAAGGACCTCTAGAGGACGAGAGCCAATGGAACAGATTCGTTGCGCGTGGTAATCAATTATTGGAGAAGCTGATGGTGGTAAGAAACGAAATCGAAAAGGATATGTTTGGTAGAGCCAAGAGTACGATTACGAAAGCCATCAACATCGAAAAAGACAAGATTGTGAAGCAAATCCTTGATACGGCTGTTGAGTTCCATTGTACTTCTGGCAAGGTAGTCCACCACCACTTGTCATGGTTCATCTTATTTTCAAGAACATATCAAGCTGACAAGATTAATAGTGGATGATCTTTTGTGACCAAGTGGAAGTCAACGAGGTCTGGTCAGTAGTAGCCAGGGTAACAATCAACAACGAGCTCGGAATTGCTGCAAAAGTCGCCCCATTTGATGGTGATATAAAAAAGTCAAGGCTTATGTGCATCTATACGAAAGATTTCACTGACATGGAAGACGTGAACCGAGTCGTCCAAAAGCTCAAGAGTCTCGGTCTGGTTGTGTTGAAAGGAAAACCAATCTACTACAAATGTGGTATGTAAACTGACACCTTTCTACTTTTGGTATGCTGACCAATTCCCCTGAAAGATGCATATACCTACCTTGGAATCAGTTCGAACAACGAGTACAATATCAAAGCCTCGCTATTCGATTCTCGGGATTTCTTGAAAAGCAAGACACAGCTAGCCAAAGAGGGGAAGAACGGAAAGATTAACAATTTCTTCTACAAGAAGAAGGAACCTGGTAATGACTGGGAACGCATGGACTGTGAATAATTGCTTCTCTGTACTCATTTTGTAAGATCACATATGGTTTCGACTTTTGCTGGAGCGTACGGATGCCCAATCATTAGCATGTAATAGATGGCGCAATCAATTGCTGGGATTTTAGGGTTATGTAAGGGGTGCTGGGGAACTACTAGTAGTCTACTAGCCATACAGAGCAGACAATCATTGGGAGGCCCAATATCCAGCAGAATTGTGATCTCGATCACACAACATCTCAATATTTTGTGTTTGGCGAATCTTGGAGGACTTCCTCGAAAGAAAGCTTGCCATGATATTTATAACTCCCGCATTCATGATCTGGTAGGGTATATTCAAAGAACCCAAGTATAAAATATAACGCCACAAAATGCCCATATGCCCCAGCAATGAATGTCCTCCTGGTGCACCCAATGCATTCCCATAAGCATTCAACAGATTTACAACATCCCACCACCCTGCTGCAACTCCTTTGCCTCCATCATCTCCCCCACGTTCTTCAAATGTAAAACCAACCGGTACGCACTATTCCCATTCAGATAATACCGATGCAGCTTTTTACTCCTCAAGAACCCTAGCCGCTCATATAGTTTCATGGCTGGAATATTCGTCTCCTCCGTCTCGAGAACCACCTCGTCGGCCCCGCGTTCCACCATGGCATCTATGGCTTTTCGTACGAGGGTCGTTGCGATACCGTGGTTTCGGTACGAGGAGGAGACCGCCAGCATGGCAATGTAACCCCGGAGCGTGGTGGGGGAGCTGTGCGAGGGAGAGGTATGAGGCTCGAGTTTGGAAATGACGACACCGATCAGCTTAGGAGATACAGGCGAGGAGTTGGGGGAGAGTGCCTATTTCTCCATGTTAGTTCGGGATTCACGATCGTATGCAAACATTCCCCGAGATTTTGGGTGCCATCCGCCGCGGTTCTTCTTCCTGCAGAGATTGAAGAGGGAAAACGAACCATGAGACAGAGATCCCCCCATTGGTACAGGAAATACCGATATACATAAATACTATAAGGCTCGCTCAAGTCCTTGGAAATGAGGGCGCGGATCGAGGGAAGATACTGCTTCTCATGGGCGTGCGAGTATTGGATGTAGAGGAGTTCCGCAGGCAGAGGACGGCTCTTTTCCCGTGTGTTGCTCGACATTGCGACGGCGGGAATGATTACTGTTTCTGTCATTATTGTGAGGCGGGAAAGAATAGAGAGGGTATTCGTGGTGGGTTGGTGAGAAGGTTGGAAGGTTGTGGAGTGATCGTGTGGTGACTCGGGGAACACGCTGATTTTACAGGCTTTCACATGCTTTATTTTTTTCTGATGCGATACACGAGGGCGCTGGACCATTTGGTGTCACCAGCAAGGGGGTTCGTTTTGGGAAGGCAATGCTTACTGCGATTGCCGAGGCTGATTGACGCAGATTTCATTCATGTCTGTGATGAATGAGGAAGTCGTGCCGCTTGAATCATTGAAGCTATTCAAAAATCCCCGCACAAGTGGCACAACCCCGCGATTTTGGCCTCAGAAAATCGAATTTGGAAAGGAAACGGCACAGCTCCCGATTTTGTCAAAAAGATCTGGCCAACGGTCCCGAAACTGACATTTGAGTCAAAGTCTCACATTTAACTCCATCTATAGCTGCCACGTGCTTGCCTCGCTGTTGGAAACTCTGTTGTTTATAAGCTTTCTCTACTGGTAGTTGTTTACGTAGGCGAATTGTATATACTGTATGTATCAGTTGTTTTAAATTGCCTAGAGGTTACTATAGACCTTTTTCAATAATTGCCTCGTGTGTTTGAGGAAGCTTGACTTGTTGTACATTTCAAGGCAGTAGTTTTATTCATTGTTCCAACTTTCTTGGTTGTAGTTTGGCTCATTAGCCTACCTAGGTAGATCGATATTTGGGTTCATTGATTTAATAAACCTAGAATTTTCGAATTAGTCAAGTTTTATTAGTCCAGAATGTTAGAATAATTTTATTAAATTGTCCTAGACACCTAGAATAATGATATAGTAAGATCTTATAGTAGTGACGGAATGAGAGGTGTACATAGAGTAACGACCTGAACATCTACAGGTACTTCGCGAGTTGTCAGAAGGAGGTCCAACCTTGAAAGGATTTGTTTCTTCCTATAATTTTCCCTGAATGAGTTTTCCTGGGCGGTTTTTTCGGCTTATATTCCGTGATTTTGACACTTCGAGCGATCTCGCTTAATAGCCGGTTCATTCTCACTCTGTGCAAGCTACAATCATTATTTATATATATATTTCAAAACTGTTCGAGAAATCGCCATTCTCATTTGCTATCTTAAGCATCATTTTGTGGAAAAAGATTTATATCTTTAAAGCCCAACTAGCATACCCACCAATTCCATCACATTCTCTACTTAGGTATCTCCATCACAGAAACTGTAACGTTATTTGTGGTACTTGGAGGCAAAACACCGGCCCCCATGATCAAAAGATGGGTAGGGTTACTCTCAAGCACTCTTACATGTCGGGTATATGCTGCCTTTTCAGGAGTCTCCACTGTCTCCCACGTATTGCTATCTCCCAAAGCACGATTTATGAAAACTTGGGTATTGCTGCCAGAGCTAACTATAATCGTCCCGTTTTCTCCACCTGTTGGTGAAAACGTAATTGTTGGCGAGCCTTTCGGTTGGATGCCATCCTTTGAAATGATGGGAAGACCGACTGAATCCAGAAACGCGAGAGGACTATCGTTGATGCGATAGTATACTGGAAACTGGTACGAGGAGGATTGAGTTGGTCCACCTCCGTACTCATAAGTCATCATGTACTGTTTATTTGGCAGCTGAATAATTGAGGTCATGCCTGGTCGTGCAGTATAAACCGGATATGTAACGTCCTCGACATCGGGCCCCCAAGTGAGGAGATCCTCAGAGACTGTATGGACTAACTTCTGGCCATAACGCTCTGTATCGCGTTGATCGGAATAATAAAGGACTATACTTCCTTCGTATGCGAGTAGAAAGGGTTCCCAGATAGCCGGGACTCCGTTATCTGGGACCGCCCTTCCTCCAACCGCAACATGGGACACAAAGTTCCAGTTATATCCGTCATCTTCACTTGCGTAAACATCGATTTTGGTAACACTCACTGCATCATATCAGCCATACTCTGCTAGTTGAATTACGAGGAACACCTCCCCCAGGGTAATGAAGATGGGATTAGTGTCAGAGAGGAAAACAGGGAAGAGCTACATACAGTCCGTGGGGATTGAGTTTCCTGCACAAAGAATGGTCCCGGCTTTGTATCTTCCAATAGCAATAGGGAGACGATACAGCATTGGCTGATAACGAAGTCCGTAGTTATTGACCGTGTCTTGAATCCGTGAAATCTCTTCCCATGATGCTCCACCATCAGCACTTCTGTAAATAGGAAAGTAAACTAAAGGTGGCTCGGGAGAGTAATTTTCCTTCCAAAACCTCAGCGCAGTTCAATAGCGAACCAAGAATTAACATTACCCATGTTGCAAGAAGAACGCCGTTGTCTAGTTCGACTGTGCGTGGATAGAGAACTCGAGGATCTGTGTAGTTTTCATCTGGGGTAAAGATAGTGACTTGAGAGAAGGTTGAGAAAGGAGCTATCGTATTATACGACGCCGGTGCAGCAATGGTCACTCCCAAAAGCAGAGCAATGGCTCGAACACTGAGTTGCATGATGAGGAAGTTGGCTGAAAAAGTGGACAAAACCAAAGAAAGAAGATACCGATATCTCACCTACGAAGGATGCTCTGAGCTTTATATACCGATTTACTGGTACGGACTCTCATCAAGTGCATCATTGCACTTGACCAGCTCCAGTTACCCAGTTACGCGGGGATAACAGGGGTTGGAAATCGAATGGGGACCCCGCAATTCTTCCATCCACGCCTCGCACGCCCACGCCCACGCCACGCTTCCATCTCTGCCTCTCGCGAGAACCAAGGGGACTTCCCCGCAAAAGTGATGGTAGCGCCGGAAAATTGTTTGTTCTGACCTGATGTGGTGTGGGGATGACTCGGCCCCGCAAAGGGACTTGAAGCATACCTACAGTAGGCAGATGCGCCCCAATAGGACGCGATTTTTAACCGTAAACTTATGCATCGCGGGAAGGACATCGGCATCGTCCCTTCTTCGCGGGCTCGGGTTTACTACATAAGGTAGTCAACTTCATGCGCCAGTTTGGTACCGGAACGAATGCTTGGTGACGGCAAAAGTGAGATCACGAAGTACTGGTACCTGTCTCGTTGTGAAAATGAGGAAGGCTTTCAGGGGTGGTCTACCTAGCGAGCTCACCTCGCCTAACTTAGTGAGTAAAAGGTTGATTAGGTAAACATATCCCAACCTAAACCAATCAAAAAGGCACCAGATGGATACAGAACCCTGCCGATAGACATCCGTATCCGAGGTTACGGGCCCGATCCCGAACCCTCTCCGACGTCACCCAGCCAAGCTCTTGCACAATATTGATACGAGCGCCTAATAGAAGGTCAACGATCACAATACCTACCAAAATGGCATCAGCAACGGCCTTTCGAAGAGTAGCACTGACTGCGACTCGTCCCTCAAGAATCTTCCACAGCTCTGCGCGTGCTTTCATCAAAGTTGGTGATACCCTCCCCAAAGTGGAAGGTTTGGTTGAATCTTCACCGGGAAACAAGGTCGACTTGAGCAACGAGGTCAAAACGGGCAAATCTCTCATTATTGGAGTCCCTGCCGCATTCAGTGAGTCGGAATAAACTCCTCGGACCTCTTTATGCGAGGAGTTCGCTCTAATTTTGGAATCAGGTCCTGCTTGCAGCGAGTCTATGATCCCCGGCTATATCAACCACAAGGCTCTCAAAGATTTCAAGAACGTCTTCGTCATTGCTGTCAATGATCCATTCGTCACAAAGGCATGGGCCAAGTCAATTGATCCATCTGGAAGCTCCGGTGTTAGTTTCTCAATTCCCTAGACGACAACTCGTGATTGCGTTATGCTTACCAAGACAAACTGTAGATCCGCTTCCTAGGAGACCCAACGGTCAAATACACAAAGGCACTTGATCTTACCTTTGATGGTAGCGCCATTTTTGGGGGCGAACGAAGCAAACGCTACGTTCTTGAAGTTGAGGACGGAAAGGTCACCAGGGCGCATGTTGAGCCTGACAACACAGGATTCAATGGTAAGTTTCTTCTGAGATTAGTTAATGAGGACCAAAGCTTACATGGCTAAATAGTCACTGCCGCTGAAAAAGTTTTGGGTTGAGATGAAATGTTTGCTTGACGGAGAGAACACGAGCCTTGGACTATCTCCCAGCCTGTCTCTCACGAACCCACAACCATAAAAACTGTAATAGTAGCTCCGGTGAATCAAAAGTCTGATAGTCAATCAAATCAAATGGGTGCTCCTATTCCGTCAACTTTTTTAGTGCGGCGCTAGCCGGGGACCCCTGCAGGGCCCGTGCCCTAATATAAGTAAATTTTAGATAGATTCACTTCATATAGTATCCATAGCAACCGTTGACTGATTACCTAATATGTACACTTTTGAAGCTGGTAATAGTTGCAAAGTTAGTACTCGTAGTTTAATATGTATTTGTGAACTTCAGGGGAAACTACCACAAACTCTATTAAAAGAGGGGTCATTTCCTAAGTTATCTGTAGTAATTACTTGTCTTCCTGCTATTTTGCTAGCAAAAGATAAACTTATTTTAGTCACAAATGGGACAAAACCGTTTCCATCCTACTAAGTGGGTCATTTGCCTTAATTATACCCCTCTAACCCTAACTACTAACCCTAACCCCGACCTCCAACCCAGACCCTAACCGCTAACCCGCGTGTTTTATATGCTACCCCCGGCCCGCGCATAACGCCACCAAGCCACCCACCACCACGACCAGCCTTTATTCAAGGGTCTGAGGGAAAATGGTGATTGTTTTGGCTATAGGCTCTAAATTAACTTTTTGGTGAAGAATCTAAAGCCCTAATATACCACTACTATATAACTAGCTATATTCGAGTACACCTTTTTAGATACTTTCGATATTAAGGTTTTATATAGTATTATTTTTAGGGTGGTACACCGCCGCTAAGATACCGAACTATCGTGTGAAAGCTAAAAGTGGCTATTTTTACTTTCTCTAAATAGATTTTGGCCTATAGCTCTTCGTATACTATTCTATAACCACACTACTTATTAAGACGTACTAAACTAATATTTGTAGAGCTAAATACGCTCTACAAATGCTACTAGGTCTTATTATAATAGGACGTGGTTTGGTGGAATAGTTGACGAAGAGCAAAAAGCCCTTTTTAACTAAGCGATAAACGCGATTTTGCCCCTCGAAAACAGGTGTATTAGGGTCAGTTTTAGTGCTACCGACTTCTACATAGGCTCAAAAGATAGCGCTTAATTAGCTCTATAATATATTAATCCGCTAGCTAAATAAGACCGTGGCATATTAAGTTATTTCGAAGTGTTTAGTCCTAGGTAGATACGTACAAAGTGAGAAGCGAGGACGAGGGAGTGCTAAGGCTCCCTCCTATAAACCTACCTGCGTATCCACCTATATAAAAACAGGTGTATCAGGGCTAGTTTTTATCGTACCGACTTCTATATAGGGTCGAAAGAAAGCGCTTAATTAACTCTATATACTACGTATCTACGAGCTAAAAACGACTATGGCGTATTAAGTTATACGCTTATAAAGTACGTAGGTAGATGAGGCTTAAATGCGTATATACCCCTGTAGGAATACTAAAACTCGACCATATCGTATAATAAACACTTCGTAATAGTATAATACGCAACGGTCGTATTTAGCTTATAGATACGTATTATATAGAGTTAATTAAGCGCTTTCTTTTAAGCCTATATTAAAGTCGGTATAATAAAAACTAGCCCTAATACACCTGTTTTTATATAGGTGGGTGTGTAGGTAGGTATATAGGTAGGGCATATACGTATTTATGTAACGAATACTCAAACTGGCTAACTAAACTTGGCTGGGTGTTCGCTGGTTGGTATGCTATAATAAGAAGAAGACTATCGGGTTGTTCACTTAGAAGTGAACTCGTTACTTGTATCAAAGATGTCAAACAAATATGATAAGATTGATAACTAAGTTGAGCACGAAGCTCCTATCTAATGGCAGACGTGTCAGTCTTATATAGAACCTTCGTTCTCTCGATGTTCGCCCGGCTAACTGGCGAACTCCTAATATCACGTGATAACAATACAGAGAAATCCCTGGATTGCTTAGCTGCTCCAAACGATCCCTATTTGCTATAAGAAACCTGGATGTGCCTGTCGAGGGTTGCGCCTCTTATTATGACAGGTATCACGTGAACACGTGATTCGTGACAGTCACCTAAATAAACCCTATTTTCCCTCAGACGCTAGATGGCCGTTTCGGGTTGTGATTGGCTGGGAGTGGTCGGGGCCGGGGGGCCGGGGGAAAATCGGCCATGTGGCCAGCGGCTGAGGGCTGAGATAACGTCGATTTAGATATTTAAAGTCCTTTCAAACCCGCTAAGTTCCTGCTCTTATTCTGTTAGCGATATTCCACTTAATTTAGCTTCATTGATAACTTCACAAGGACTTACTAATCCACTAGCAATCGTAACAACAATAATACGATATAGAGAGAGATTAGCCAGCTACTGGGGCCTGCACTGCCTACGGCTCGTCAGCTCTCCCCAAAGAAGTAGGGGGATTTGTAGGAGAGTCTAGGGGATACGATACTTGGCTTAGGTCTATTAGTTTGCCAGTCTTTTTGCGTACTTTGGTTTTAGTTTGCAGGTTGTTTTAGTGGAGTTTTGGTGGTGTTGTTATAGATTAGTACGGAAGTGGAAGTGGGAATGGAGTCCTGTTTACTATTGTTGTTTATTCCTTGGTGCCATGAGTTTACGTACAAGTTCACTATTAAATTAATGCGTGAATCGAATAATCGAGAATACCGGGGCCCTTGCTAGTGCCGACGCCACTTTGTAGGGATCTATTTGAAAACGTTGACGGAATAGTAAAACCTAATCAAATCACAACGTTCCATAGGTAGGGGTTGCCATCAATGCCGTATTTTCGTACGCTAATTCTGTTTAATCCTTTAATTTCCTCTTGTTTCTATCTCTGGGAGAAAGGGCTGGCGATGAGTATAATTGAGTGAGTTATGGGTATGCGGATCAGTTGAGGAGAACAGGATTAGACTCACTACTCCACTTATCAACGGCCTAGTAGCAATTCTCTCCAACTTACAGTGTAGATATGCTCAATATCGAGTTTTTAGTAGCTTCTTTGACGCTCCTTTTCTTAAATAGGCTTTTAAGGCGTTTAAAAACTACTTAATACTTGTACAACTAAATAAATGTTTCATCCCTTTCTTCGAAGAAATCCTAGCATTGAAATAAGAGACCCGGTCATTACTATGGACAATCCTATCAGTCATTCTGCTATCATGCTAAAAGCTTGGCATATCTGGATTAGTTGTACGAGTCAGTTTGGATGATTAATTCCTCTCGTTTTCTATAACCTAGGTGAACTAGGGCATTTGAGTTACCTCTGCCAGACGTTAGTAGGATCATTCTTTGTAATCTGTCCAGAGTACAATAATCAGGTCTCTTACTTTGGAGGAAACAAACGCCTCCCGTAATGCCTTTTATTATACCCTCGACGTAATCAAATCTTCTTAGCTGAATGATCTCTTGCTAGAACTGCGCGGTTACATGAAAGATGATTAGTAAGTAGGCCCGTGGCGGGATTAAATTGCACTGCGCTAATCTCTACTAGGTATTCTCCACTACTTAACTACTACCTGAAACAAGAAAAGTAGAGTAGAGTAGTAGAAGTGGAAGTAAGAATCCGTGACTGTTACTTTGATCCCCCGTACCCTCCATACTATCTCATCCTAGTTCTTCTGGAATGATGGAAATATAATTAAATGAGTTCTGCGAGGATTCTAGAATAATCAATTATATAGTTCTACAAGTTTAAATTGAAAGATTATAGTAGTAATCGTGCTCTGGATTAGTAGGAATTCCTTTGCCCTGGGGGCAGGGTCTCTTACTTGACTACTTAACGGATTTTATATACTGATTTTACCTACTTCCTTTCTCTTTTATGATGTAAACTACCGTATTAATTGGTATATAAGATAACATATAGTAATTAAAAAGTCTGCTATATAACGAAAATAACCATATCTTAATACAAAATTAATATCTAATAAGCAAAAATGTAGGTCTATACTACCGACCACCCCCTTATATCCCGCTTCCACTAGCACCACGCCTAACCTCCTTCGAATAATCCTACCGTTCCCTGTATATAACTTTGCAATCAAAACCTTCGCTCCGCTATATATTACACGGAAGACAAGGTTATAAATAGATTATATAGTATTAAGGATAACGTAGATTTTAAAGATGATTAAGAGAATATAATAATAGATAGTAGGGACGAAACAGAGGATATATTTAACAACGATAACAACGACTAGTTTGATCTTAATATAGATATTAACAACCTATAGGATATAGATATAAATAGGAATTAAGGAGGGGTATAAATAAGGGTATAATAAGGGGTAATTTGATGCGATTCTATTGGTTAGACTTATAAAATATGATTCCTAGCGAGTGGTGGAACCTTCTCTCTTATCTCAATTTACCTTATACACAAATAATACCTTAAATACCAATTAATACGGTAGTATCCAACGTTCGGCACATGGAACCATATCCCATGGAATTATTCCATTCCATTCCACCTGGAATCCTTCCAGAGCACCACTATAATGGAACTGTTCCATTCCAATGATTAGTCTCTGTAATTTCAGGATTTCTATGGAATTCCATTTATAGTGAATATTTATAGAGATTTGAGTGAATAACCGTATTCAAGAAGGTCTAGTGAATAGGTGACCTTCATGTGACATGCAGGACTAGGCACTCTACACCTACATATTTTGTTAGTACTCCTAGGAAATCCCCTACTCCTTATATACAAAGGCGCTCGTAATTGCTAACCTACCGGACCTGAGACAGATTTTTCTGGGTCATGTGACGTTCTAAATGGTAATTCCATATATTCCATGGAATATATGCCTCTGGAATGGAATGGAGTTCCAGTAGCCGAACGTTGCTAGTAGTATCCCTTCTAGAATTAGTATGTCTAAAATCAATGTGCAGTTAAATTGAATAGAAATGGATACGATAACTAGGTAAATTAAGGCTTAACTGCTTAGAAACGTGGTTTAGCTAACTGAATGGTTTTATAAGAGTGAGAACTGTTCCTCCACTATTATCACTACTGGTATTGAAAAATGATAGTAAATAAAGGAAAATCATTGACAAAAGTAGCAAGAAGTTTGCATACAAGCCTTTACACATATGTTTTATACAAGGCATGTATTATGACTAATCCAAAAAACACTCTCTTTATAATATCAAAAACTTATTACCCGTGGCCCATCATGGCTCATGGTTTTAACACTAGTTTCTTGTTGGGCTTCTGGCCAGAGCCCCAATTGAATTAGAATATCATTATACCAGCAAACTTGCTACAATGTTCAACTGCCTGAGCAACGACAGATACAAGAATGCCCTCAAAGGTTTCTGGGGGTTCGATCTCTATAACAAAAACACCATATCCGCACACGTTTGGCAAATTCTCCCATTTTGAGCCTTCACGATAATTTGGTGGGGGTGAGTGTCATGAGTATCCGTAGTCTCCTCTTTGATTAAAGAAGAGTTTCGTAATGAGGCACAGAAATTCCACGATAAAGTGAGCGTGTACGTACGTCTTGATGGTGGAACTCCCGTCGATGTAACCACACCTTGAAAAAACAACAGTTTCTCGTTTTGTCATAACATGTGTCGCAACCAACTTGAAAGTTTCCTCGTCTCTATCTTCATTTGTATCTCAGATTACCCTCTGGGCATTTTCCCATAACAATACAGCACGTAGAGAAATAGGTCTGGCAGCGAATTCTCACTCAAAAGCCACGATTCTCCACATCATGGGAATGTTCAAGAAGAACATGTGGGGAGTCCATTACTCATGGCGGCACAGTTTAATGCCTTGGCTCTGAACAGTCCAACAACAGCCCAACTGCAGGGCTGAGCTTACGAAATTGTGCGCGCGAAGGATCTGGATCCTTGCAGATCATGGCAGTGCTTGGCCGCAGATCTCGCTTAAAAACGAATCTGGCAGTACGTACATGTCGAAATAAGCTGCGAACACTCTTATCTCATCCAGTCCTTGTATCACCAGATCCAATCACTAACAGCAGTACGTCCATCTGAGGCAGCCAAAATCCTTCCTAACCCACCCTTCGTATCTTTCACGCCCCTGAGTGATTCTGAGCCCTCCTACATATGATCCTGCAGACCCATAGTGCTAGCCAACATGTTTCGGATCTATGGTCACATTCTCCAAATCCCCTTTGAGTGAGGCTTAATACCAACAACGACTCTATTTCGGTGGGATTTACCAACGAAGTGCCGTACTAGTCATGTTTCTTTCCTGGTACAAGTAGATCCGAGAAATCAGCATGACTTCATCCAACTTGACATGAATGTTTGTGGAGGAAAAGGCTAAGTGAAAATCACATTCTTAACGTTCTTCCTATTTTATACCATACTCTCGTTACTTTTTTTAGACTCGTTTTTCCTTACATCATACCCCCTATGTTCAAATCATTGTTTGAAAGGGGTGCGAGGAAGCCACCGCTCCTTCCAGATCAAGACGAAAGCGCAGAAAGTAACAACTGGAATTCCAGTCGAAAATTGCCCACACCAACAACAGATTCAAGACATGGTCGAGGATGCTTATTGTGGGGAATGATAAGCAAAAACCGGAAGATTCATTTACGGAGGCTTGCCATCGTTTCGATAGTGCTCATCACGATTACTGTCGTCGGAGTTGGGTTTGTCCTTCCAATTTCACCTCATCATTCCTCACGCACTGATTGCAACACATAGAATCTGGTACGCTATACTGCTTGCTTTGATTCGGCGTCTTTCTCCGCCACCAACCCCTTCAAATGGTGTTCAAAAAGTCATTTCTTCATGGGTTGAACCATCCGCAACCACTCCCCCGCTCCCCTCCTGCACGGAGGATTTCACTCGAGACATCCAACCAATCATGTGCCATTCACACAACGATTATTGGCGAAAAGTCCCTCTCTTCGATGCTATATCAGCGGGATGTTCCAGTGTAGAAGCAGACATCTTCCTCTCCTCCAGCTCCGATCTCCTAGTCGGACACTCGTCCAAACAGCTCCGCAGTGGACGAACACTGAAAAGCCTTTACCTCGACCCTCTCTTCTCCATACTATCCAACCAAAACACCCCAACTCCAATCACAAACTCCACCACACCTCAAGGAATCTTTGATACAAGTCCCAATACGACACTTGTCCTTCTACTAGACTTCAAGACCGACGGTGAAGCATTATTCCCCGTCGTTTCTTCACAACTCCAGCCTTTCCGTGAGAAAGGCTGGTTGACACACTACAACGACACTACCCTCGTTCCCGGACCTCTTACCATCGTTGGGACTGGAAACACACTCTTCTCTTCCATCATCTCCGACACCACCAATCCACATCGGGATATATTCTTTGACGCACCCCTCACAACCCTCTCATCCAGCCCAGAATATACAGCACAAAACTCCTATTACGCAAGCAGCTCCCTCTCCGTCGCTATAGGAAGAACATGGTTCAATAGAATCACCTCCTCACAACTGGAAATCATCGAGTCACAGATCAAAACTGCCAAAGAAAGAGGCTTAGTATCTCGATACTGGGACCTCCCAGCTTGGCCTGTATCGTTCCGTACTAAAGTGTGGAAGATCTTGGAGGAGAACGAGGTAGGCGTGTTGAATGTAGATGATTTGCTAGCGGCTGCGAGGTGGAATTGGAAGCTGTGTAGTGTGATGGGATTAGATCTGTGTTGAGAATATCATTTAAATCTGTAACTCATGATATAAAGTACAAAAAGAATATCTCGAATTATCATAAATTTATCGTCTGTTCTGATGATACTACAGAGACAACTATCCGGCCATCACGAGAGAAATACACGCAAAAAGAGAAGCAACATTCCGATTGCGATCCCTTCATATCTAGGAACCCTTAAAAGCAGAGCTGTTCTTTGCAAGGCAATGAAACAAATCACAATATAATCTTCATTACAAGTCACCGTGCACAGAAACTCGAGATACAACGATCTATTCGTAATACACAGGCAATGTACAGATGATTGTGTTGCCCGATCAACCCGAGAAATAGAATAAGGGAAAGAAGAAAGAACCTTCGATACGCCGGTCGCTGAGAGTGCCACTAAAAAGCTCCAAAAGGGGCATTACCCCGCCGCTGGCAATCACAATCCCAATTATCAATTCAAACAGATCCATCAAAGGGTCAAGGTGGTGGTGTCATTTCACTCCAATCATTCTCATGAGAGAAACGAGGTCCATTCCATTATTAGTTTGTCGCACGATTCGTAGGCATGTTTGCATCATGCACAAATAGAGCGCGTGTCCAGCACACAGCGCCCGAAGAAGAGAAACACCAGAAAGCGAAGAAGGAAACCATCCTGGAATATGTGCCATGCCCGATCCTGTAGTGATATAAAAGCAACACCACAGCTGATTGTGTACAGTTATCGCTAGTGCCGCGACGATGTTTGTGGGTGCTGCTGATGGTTGTGTGGATGATTCTCCAGTTGTGGAACTGCTTGAACTTGCTGAGATTCTGGCCGCCGTTCTTGTAGCCAGAAATCAATTGCAGCCACGACATCTTCACCACGTTCATCTTCATACGCATATATGATCTGAACAATGTTAGTGTATTGCAGCAATCGTGTCACGTAGTACTTACCTCTCGAGTGCTGGTATGGAGCATACGGATATTCTTGTGTGGCACAATGTGAACGGCATTTGTGTCAATGTTCCGGATTTCAATGAAATTCGCTTCAAATGCCAATATGTATGGATACGACAAGGCAAAACTCTGGGGTTGCCCCTCCCAATCAATCCTCCAATCCGGTCTCGCACGCCAACCATTTCGATTGACAAAGAAGGAAAATTCCGAGTAATTGAGAAGGAATTCCCCATTAAGTCGCTCAATATGAATCGGTCTGACATTTTCTTTCCGGGCAACAAAGTCGAGCGAAGTATCGGCTTGGTCGAGCAGGGACTGTGTTTCCAAAGTCTCCAAAGACACGACTTCAAATCCTCTGGCGCAAGCAACACAAAGTTTCGATTTGAGGAAGTGAATTGACGAGGACTCTGTTGGAATGTAAAATTCTTTGAAAGCCTTTAGCTCATCCTGGCCACTGTTGAACATCTTGAATCCCTTTTGCTTCTTTCCTTTGGACATCGCATCGTTGGGTTCGAATACTTTGATCGTTGTTGAAAGAGCCGAGGACTTGACACAGCATACCAGGTGGCGACCGAGGCAGATTCCAGTTCTGAAGAAATTGCAATGGCTTTGAATTTTCTTTGGTCTCTTTGTGAGCGCCGGTTCGCTAGGATTGAGGGCAGACAACGGGTATGACAACAACGATTTCTGTGACAAGACCAAAAGCAATTGATATTCTTCCAGAACGTCAATTTGGGTTACTGAAGTAGCTTCGAGGACTCGTATAGGTTTGGCGGCTTGGTCTTTTGCTCTACGATCAGACACAAAGATTCCAGAGTCAGTTCCATATATCAATTTACGGCCACCATCTGCAAATAATTAGCATGCTATTTGTAGTTGGAGTGAGTATAACGTACCAAATGGAGCGACGCAATTGACTCTGTTGTTAGCGGAGAAGAAAGAACTTGACAGGATCGATCGGTTATAGAAGTCGCCACGTTTTCGCAGTATGGTCTGTTGATCACCAATGAATTCCATCCACTTATTGCGAGATCCAGCCGTGCCTGCATAAAGGGTTATTTCGTAACCACCTTTACCAATATGACGAAACGTTATTGGGAACCCTTCCTTTTTGGCACTGTCACTTGTGGTGATCTTTGCACCAGGGATCAAGCTAGATGAAGGCCGCTTAACGACTCCACCCTTTGGCATCATTTCGTCCATCTCTTTGATTGAGAGTAACTCCAATGGGATTGGTCGACGATATACCTTAACCTCTTCTTTCTTTCCAACTGTTTTTACTCTGACTAGAAGCATCGCATGATCAAAAAGATATGCTTGTATGTCTGAAGGGTCTGTTGGCGACTTCTTGAGTGTGCCTTTGTAAATTAATTCGCGTTTTTCGTCTGTAAGTTTTAGGTCAACACGTTCATTAGGTCTGAATCGGAGTTGTTCATGTAGTCGTTTAAGATTGAAGCGATTCTCTGCTTTACCGGACTCCGCATTTACTCGCGATAGAAGGTCTTTGATCATTTTCATCGCAACAGGAATGTCATCTTTATCTGGATTCCCGGGTTCCGTGTACTTGAGGACGTTCTCAAGCAAAAGTGGATATCGAGCAAGACGGGTGGTAGGTTTTGTGAGATAACCATTAAGCTCCAGTTTTCGCGATTCCTTTCTTCGTTCGGTCTCGTCAACAAATTTCGCAAAAAACGGATTGAGTGACCGCTCGTTCTCGAACTCAAATTTCCCTGCCAACTGTTTTGATCCGTAAACAATGAAGGGTTCAAATTGTGGTACGTATTCCAGGAAGATATCACCAACAGATTTGACAACTGGGTGCTTCTTCTGTCGCTCCGTGAGGGCTTCAGCAAACTTTGAGCTCACCCCGTGAATGCTTGGCTGATCTATAATATTGGAGAATATCGTTTCGACTGTCTTCTTCTTCCGTGATTCTGGGATAGGGGACGGGGCAGCAGCATTTGTCGACCTCAATGGAAGGATCCAGAAGTCCCGTAGGTATTCCAGATCCTTCACGAAATCTCTCTCCGTGTACATTATTTCGGAAATGACTTCCTGGCGCTTCTTTTCCCGCTCATCAATACTATCAGCAATTTCTTGTGAGACCGTATTGATCCAGAGTTTCTGCTCGTCAGGCTCGTCCACATCATGTAAACTTGCTTCCGACTTCTCACGTCTAAGACCAGGTTGTGGCTTCAAGTTCAGCCTTGACTGTTGCTCAAGTCTTCGTGGGCATGCAATAGAGTAGCAAAGTTGGTCTCTTGTACACGTGGGCGAATAACATTCTGTTAGAAGCACAAAAACTCCGTTCACTTCCGGGGCCTCATGCGGTTCGTCCATCATCGTCTCTCGGAATTGGTACATCTCGGCGGCCGAATCACGCAGGCGGTGATCGTATGTAACGTCATGGAAGAACTTTTGGGCATCCAATGCTCTCCCCAACAAAAGCGCAAGGTTTCGGTCGGTAGTCTTGATAATGTAAGAAATAACATCAACAGCATCGGCACCACTAAATGCGTTTTTGTATGTAAGATCGTTCTTGGTTCGATCTCCTACAGTGACCTTTTCCCTAAAACATTCTGCCACCCTCGACAAGAGTGCAGGATAAACCAAGGGGGATTTCTGCCTGGCACCCGTACCACTACTAACAGACTTGGCTATAGAAGTGCGATGCGCAAGCGACTCAGTTCGTTCCGAGGGTGTAATTGTTGAAGCCATAGACATCGAGCGGCTCATATCTCCTACTGTGGTCGAAGACGTCACACTGGCTGTACGTGTTTGCGTAGCAGGACTCCTTGGTCCTGGAATTGGATATCCTTGAGCCTCTTGTTGTCCACCGGATCTCCTATTAGGTATAACCCGGCCACTCATGGTCTGATGCTGATCACGATCCTGTGAGTAGCTTGTCAAAGACATTGCCCGCTCATCCTGTCTCTCTGGTACTACTCGCCCTTGTGCCGTGGTCCTCGAAGCCTGCCCATGATATGGTGCTTGTCTGAAAGCATTTGCGGGAGCCTGATGAAAAGTATTTGGAGGTGGCGGTTGGTACATCTGTGGTCGGTTCATACTAGCCAAAGATTGAGACCGATAGGGGTCAGAGTTCAGGGCTGGCCCAGCCTGATATCGGTGCTGCTGTAGAGGGGCTCGTGGGGGATACGGTTGTTGTAGAGGAGGGGGCCCACGGGGATCAAGTCGTTGCGGAGAAGGGTAAGGTCTACGATCCGGGCGAATCTGCTGTGGTAAATACTGGGGTTGAGGTTGGGATGGAACCTGGCCAGGCTGTTGTGGTCTTGGTGGATAGCCATTTGACATAGACATACTTCCTCCATTATGTTGCATCCCACCTGGAGGAGCTGTTTGATAACCGCCCTGTGGATGGGGCCGTAGAGGAGGCTGCCGTGGCATGCCGCCATATTCTTGTGAGCCCATCGTCTGTGTACGTCCATTCATCATTGGCGGAACGACGGATGAGTTCATCGTTTGAGACCGGCCAGACGGCGCAGAGCCGAATATATTTGAGAAGGCGGCATCTCGAGAGTTGCTGCCGGAAGGGTACTCGTTCGGACGAGCGCCGTTGGAACGACCCTGCTGGTAGTCTGCCATGATGCTTTGACGATGTGACAAAGATCAACGATGGTGTAAAGGGCAGGCAGTGTTGGACCAGTGTGCAATACTGTGGGTATTCGATGTTACCGACTCCACGAATCCGCGGGGCAAACCCCCTCGTTCTCTTTTGCTTTCCAGTCCAAGCAGGCCTGGATCTTGCTTCCTCGTTTCTCCTCGTTGCGCCTGCCACTGTCGTCGTGGTCCGAATCGCACACGGTTTGGCTAGCTGGCGGAGGACGAGTCTCAGTGTGGCCCCGTTTTCTGGATCGGTGTCGTCTCTTGCCGTCCGGTGAGGTTTGCGAGGGATTTCCGCAGCCGACACCTCGTGATGCTAGTCGCGAGAGGAGATGCTGCGTCGTGGGAGAAAACACATTGAGGTCACCCCGTCGGCGATGGTTCAATGCTTGAAATGTTTCCGTATGCTGCTTGTCGCAGGAAGTTGGGGAGATCGGCCAAGTTCCTGCCAAAGGCAGTGAGGCACCACTCAACTGGGAGTCGCTAAATATTCGGTGAACCGAGCAGGCGAGCGGGCGAGCAGGCCTGCATTCACATCCGAAAAGTCCACGGTACCGGTACGGTATTATTAGGGGGGTAGTGAACAGGGCAGGGTTGCCAGTGCAGCGGCCGTTGGCTGCTAGCGTGGGCTGGGAACAATAAGGGTAAGGTCTGTAATGATAGGTATTTTTATCTGAGGAAGGTTGAAACGCTGCTTTGGGGGTTCTTCTGGTATTGTATTTTTGGGACGAGACTAGCTACTACCATACGAGTATCCCTATCCATGCAGTATAAATTTTGATTGACGTTCCCGGTCTCGGTGGTAGAGTGAGATTCGACCAAGGGACGACCGACCTTCATGGCTCGGCTATGGCCAATCACAGTATGGCGACACTTACTTAGTCAACATGCCATGTTACTAGTTTGTTACTTTGCCTTTACTTGACTTCTACTTGAAGTGTTTTTGTAGAGAGGAAAAACAAAAGCACAGGTAAGACTCGGTTACTCATACTATAGGTAACATTCTATAACACTCTATATAATTGTAGGTATCATTCTATATCTATGGACCAGTATATGGGGTATTTTGCGTGGCGAGGGTGACTAAGTAAACAGTATATCTTTTGACCTAGAGCACACGTTGCTTCCACAAATAATAAGCCAGTGGGATTGTTATACGTACGCTCTTTTATATATCTATCTATCTATCTATCTATACTCAGTATTCCAATTCCAAGCGAACTGTCTCATAACAGGTGACAACATATAATATACAAAGTATTAGTATAAACCTACCTACATACCTATCAATATTTATAGGTGGAAGTACCTACGAGTAGCCTGGTGCTTCCATCTGACGCAGTACCTATATAGGCATGCGAGTACAATAGCCTCAGCTGCTCTGCAACTTTGGCTCAGCCATACCTGTTCATTGCTCGTATTCAATAGTTCATGAATTCAATCAACCGACTAACCATATTAGCAATTCACCACCACAGCTTAGGCCTAGCCTTAGATGTACGAGAATTCACTGGGAGTACTCAGGTAGGTACCCATTGAACCCTACCCGCCCAGTACCTACTGCAACTTTAGGTATGCTCAATCTAGCCCAGCGTGCGCAGCTATGAGTACACCCGCGGCAGCCTCTCAATTCCCTGAAACCACATCACGTGCCCGTTATCCGCTCTGATTAGAGAAGCTGACTCCACTCCAAGACCTGGCTTGTCTCGCAGACACCCCGTCCATCACCCATTCCCTCCTCCTCGCTGTCTCTCTCCCACTCCCACTACAACACCTGATACAGCTTCCAACAGAAAATTGCACTGCTTCCTCCCACTACCACTCCCGACTATCCACCTTCTCCGCAATATTTTCCCACCAACACCTTCATCTTCATCAAGACACTGTCATTTCCCTTGCCTCGCCAACTCCTAAGTCGGACAACTGCCTGATGTGCCTGGAATCTCGTCCTTTCTGACGAGTTCGAGCACCCTTACAAGCCGACAACATTTCTCCTCAATCTAAGAAACGCAAGGCGGCGGAGACTGCTGAATCTTCAGCACATACATCCAAGAGATCGAGCAAGAGGATCGACTCTACTGGCCTGAAGGAAGGACCTCCCACGCCACTGACAACCGCAACACCGATGGACTCAGAAGACGATTTCATGTCTGGCCTGTCCAGCGATGATGACATGCTCGACGATCAGAGTGACAATGATGATGAATCGGTAGCCGGTACGTTGTAGTTTATGCTGACTTGTGCCATGAAGTCCCTCATACTGACAAGGTTGTGGGTTCAACAGAATTTGGCATTGATGAATCCGATCCCGAACTGGATTTCTCGCACAAGAAAGATACCAAGAAGAAGAAGACATCCTTCGAAATCAACTTCAAGGTCTACAAGCCCGAGGATATTCAACGCCAACAAGATGATCTCATCGATGAAGTCAATATGATCTTGGACATCCGGAAAGAGGACGCCGCGATACTACTACGACACTTTCGATGGAACAAGGAACGTTTAATCGAGGATTATATGGATCGACCAAAGAAAGTCCTCGAGGCTGCGGGTTTGGGTCCAAGTACAACTGGCCCACCGAAACTCGAAGTTGTGCCCGATTTCATGTGTGACATATGCTGCGAGGACGAGCCTGGACTAAAGTCATTTGCTATGAAATGTGGTCACCGTTTCTGCGCTAGCTGTTACAATCAATACCTGGTCCAGAAGATCAAGGAGGAAGGAGAAGCAGCTCGAATCCAATGCCCTGCTGATGGCTGCAACAGAATAATCGATGCGAAATCTCTGGACCTCTTAGTCGCCGCTGATTTACAACAACGATACCACGAATTGCTTACTCGAACCTATGTTGAGGACAAGGAACATTTGAAATGGTGTCCAGCTCCGGACTGCCCAAATGCCATAGAGTGTGGTATTAAGAAAAAGGACCTGATCAGAGTGGTACCAACTGTCGCCTGTGGCTGTGACTACAAATTTTGTTTTGGGTGCATATTGGCAGATCATCAACCAGCTCCCTGTGAACTGGTGAAGAGATGGCTCAAGAAATGCGCTGACGATTCAGAAACAGCAAATTGGATTTCCGCACACACAAAAGAATGTCCAAAGTGCAACTCAACGATTGAAAAGAATGGAGGTTGTAACCACATGACGTGTAGAAAGTGCAAACACGAATTTTGCTGGATGTGTATGGGTCTCTGGTCAGAACACGGTACAAGTTGGTACAATTGCAACAGATTTGAGGAAAAGAGTAGTTCTGATGCCCGTGATGCGCAAACCAAATCCCGGGTGTCTCTGCAACGATACCTACATTATTACAACCGTTACGCAAACCATGAGCAATCAGCCAAACTCGATAAGGATATATTCATCAAGACTGAAAAGAAAATGGTGCAGCTGCAATCTGCATCAGGAATGTCTTGGATTGAAGTGCAATATCTCAACGCTGCTTCACACGCCCTGCAAGAATGCCGACAGACGCTAAAGTGGACGTATGCTTTCGCTTTCTACCTTGCTCGCAATAACATGACCGAAATGTTTGAAGACAATCAAAAGGATTTAGAAATGGCAGTAGAGGCTTTGTCAGAGATGTTTGAGAAGAACGTGAATGAGTTATCAGAACCTAAGCTCAAGGTGGATATCATGGACAAAACCTCATATTGCTCCAAGCGCCGAGATAAAATACTTGAACATACGGCCGAAAATCTCGCAAATGGTGGATGGTCATGGTCAGTTGACTTCTGATAAAGCTATCCAATGCTCTGAAATATGTCATGTGCTGCTGAGGCGGCGAGATGGGTTGCCTCTTGCACGGGGTATCTTTCTGTAAAAACAGCAGCAGAGTAATGCAATCTCAACTCGGGGAGCGTCCAACACGATTCCCCTCTTTTTTTCTTGAAGGTTCCTATACAGTATGATCATCCCTCATCTTGTTCGGAATTTTCCATGGGGTCGCCTAGTTTCACTGATTGCATCATACACCGGCGTTTTTTTCCCTTCTGCATTCTTGCTGTTTATTTTTTCAGTTCTTTGGTTGGTGCTTTGGCTTTTCTTTAATTTGATGAGAATGGCGGGACAGATGATTTGAAGGAACGACTGAAATGGAAATGGAATTTGATTAGGGTGGAATTTGGGATGGAGTGACGGAGTGAATGGGGGGTTTCTATTTTTTTCCTCTCTTCTGTGTGTCACCATACATCAGGTGTTTGTGTGGACGAGATAGATAGTCACATTGATGCTTGATGCCCAGATTCTCGGGGGTTTAAGCGCGTAGAATCTCTAGTAGAAATGAGAAGCGATTTTAAATTTCTCTTTCTGAATCCTATGTCTGAATATACAATGATTGTGATTATCTGGATTAATTTCTTACTCGATTCTCTTCAGCTTCCGCTCAGTAACATAAAATAAAGACCGTACAAATCTCTCCCTCCATTTATCCTCACTTCCTCCTCATCAAGCTCCTAGATACAAGGTTAGAAACCCAATAACCCTTTTCATCATAAACTGAACAAACCTACCTATTTCGCAATTGATACCGTTGGCAACCCCTATAATGACCTAACCGAGCCTCGTAGCCCAAAAAGGGGAAGTCAAATTCCAGCCAACAAGAAGGGAATTAAATATCTATACAAATCTTCTGTTCAACGTGTATGTCCTTGTCCCTCATTAATCATCTCAACAGTGAGGCACAGGTCTGGTAGGAAGTGAATCTACTTGGGCTATCCTTGAAAGCCTTCTTGTGTTTCTCGCTAAAGCGACCCCTGAACGCCGACTCACCGACAACCTGTCAGAGCCTCATTGATAACCCTCTGGATAACTTCTATCCCAAATGTATAAAGGACACACAAAATCCAGGGGGTATGAAACCCTCATCACAAGGCTCTTAGCCCTCTCATTGATAGCCTTGCACACACACACGTCACATAAAACGCAAGGAATTTTAGTAGTATCAATATTAAATTCACTGACTTGAATCTTTTACAAACAGAAGATTTCTCTCAAAGGCCCTCCCTTTCATCGGTCAAAACTTCACTTTAGGCTCCAAGACACCCTCTCCCCTCTGCAAACACCAGTTCTCCACGACTCTCTCTAAGATGTACTAATCTCCTGAGTGTCTCTCTGAAGCCAAAGCAAGAAATCAAGTTGCCAAAATCAACAACAAGGACAAAAATGTGAAACCCCTCATGTCTGCTCTTTTCTGTGCAGAAAGGAAGAGAAAGAGAAAAGGAAAAAGGAAAAAATGAGGAAAAAACAAACTCCACCATGGGTTGTGTAATCTTGTCAACCATGTATGCATGTCCACCGGCCAAACTCCAAGCATCAGTCAAAATGACAATTCGTCCACGTATCCATGTTGAAAACTCCTCCAATGCCATCAAGATGCTTTTCTACTCCCCGCATGGGAAAACTCCACAAAAGCAATGAAAACTGCCCCAAATTTGTGTTAACAAAAAATACGCTTCCGTGCAACACCCTTGTTGCTCATAATCGCAAAATTATCATTAAGTCATTCATTCCTCCCATTTGTATCAGCTGTTGTACACGAATCTATTAAGATTGAGGTGGGTGGTTGAAATATTCTCGTCATTTGCAGCATTGGTAGGTGACAATGGTTCGTCGTCTTCACTGTCAGGAATGATGAGGTCCTCACTGCCAGTTTGTAATAGCGGGTTCGCGATACCTGTTTTATCGGTTGCACAAGAGGGAGTTGTAGCAGGGGTGGCAACAGGTGCAACTTCTGGAAACGGAACACCACCTAGGCCAAGTAGAGAACGACGTTGTGGCTTGCTGTTCTTGATTTGATATACAGGAGTCTCTGGCGGTGTCATTTGGAGTAGCTTGGTTTTATTTGCTGCAGACGCTCCAATGCGTTGAAGGGGTGTAGTGTTTGCTCTCTTGGCGTGCATTGGTGCCTTTGACATAACGACCTTAGGCTTGACGGCGAGAGGGATCTTCGAAGATTTGGATGAGATAGAAGACAAGGAGCTTGCGGTAGATTGAACACTGGCATTTGGCTTTAGAGTCGTTCTGAATGTGAAATTGTCTTTGATACTCTGAGCTGACCCAAAGATGTCATTGTCTTGACTTGTGGGGGTAGATGGTGCCTCTGCAGAGCTAGTGAAGGAATCGGAGGTCGTAAGTCCAGGGACGGAGTCTTGTGATTGTGAAATTCCTCCGCCTGAGGCGCTGGTTTGCTTCTCTGTCATGAGGCCCTCTCCTTGGAAAACGATGACTTTCTTGGCGGTATTGAGCTCACTTTCAAAGCTATCAACATCTGGAAGGCCAAGCATAGCTTCTTCAATGGAATCATCAGAGAAGATGTCAACATTTGCCTTTCGCGCTCGCTTGTCTTTTGCAGATCTGCCAAGGGTCGGGCTTGCTTCAGAGGCAAAGAAGCGACTGCGTGAGAGATTGGCCTTTTTGCTGGGCGAACCTCCACTTTCGATGTCTGCGCAAAGTCGGCTTCGCTTTTGGGGACCAGGTTCTTGGTTGGTTGTTGAAGTATAAATTGAGAAAGTTTGTCTAGTGGGCACTCTGGCTGGGGCTGAATGAGAGACGCTTGGTGAAGGTTGCGGACGAAGGTACACTCTTGGGAGAGAAACAGCTGGAAGGTCAGGATGGGTTGAATTTGGAGTTCTCAAGCAATTGGGATCCAATTCAGCCAAAGGTCGGCGACGAGGAAAGAAATCGCTGATAGGCTTCCCAGTCCCCTTCTTGAGACTGCCTGATGCTGCCAATATTTGCTGTGGAGTGCGAGAAGCCAGAGGGGTGACCTTGGCCATGTTGGTGGATTTCTGCTTCACCATATCAACCTTGGGGACAATGTTTTCCTTGGTCATCGGATGGAGATCTCCCTTTGCGACTCCTTGAGCAATCGGAGCCTCCACGTAGCGTCCAATCCAGAGCATTTTGGAGTCGTCAATCGGTTGCTCTGGTTGTGTGTGGAGGACGAGAGCTTGGGCAATCGGACAGAAGACCCTTTGGTGGAGGAAGGTGAGTTCAGCTTGATAAAACGCGTCCTGGTAGCCCTTGGGCACGTGAAACTTGCCGTCAAACTGCAGCATTCGCAGGACCTTCTCCACCGTCTTGTGCTTCCTGACCATCCGATAGGCTGTCTTCAGACCCATGCCGCCAATACTTGCAAGATAGTCGCACCCACTCAAGATGGCCATTTGACGGAACTCTTTATCAGACCAGCCAGTCAAGGTAATCTCTTTGCAAGCACAGAAGTCTGCCTTGTTGATTTCAATACAGTTTCCATATTGGTCCAGCTTTGTCAAGAGACATTTAGCGCCAAAGACAAGGAGATCAGAATCTTCTGAGAGAATTCCGTGAATGATACCCTTCCTTTCCAAGTAGACCATCTGGGCGTCCGCTTCGTATGGAGCTACCACGTACTGTACTTGGTTTGCCTTGAGTTCATCAATCAATTGTCGTGCCATTTCGGGGGTCACATCAATGGATTTCTGAAATTCGAGATACGCTTGTGAAGGCTTCCCAGCCTTCATCAATTCAAAGCCAGCCTTTTTGCTATCTTCTCGTCGCTTTGCCCTGTCTGCTTCTGTTACGGCTTTGCTGGGAAGGTAATCGCCGTCAAATACTAAATATGGTATCACTCCAAAATGTTGGAGCATACGGACTCGGTGCATGGCAAAGTCGACAAATCTGCATCGACAGCGTCAGTACATTGCTGCTGGGGTCCAACATTGCTTCACTAACTTTCTTGTCGGTTGACCCTTTGCCAATTCCATGGCACACCCTACGGTCCCTCGATGAAGCCATCCGTATGCGTCTACCCCGAGGGTCTTGCCCTCGAACTTTTTGAGACTGCATGGCTTCTGAATGGACTTAAGTAGTGGAAGCAGCCCTGGGAAGCGTCAGTACAAATTCACCGAGTGTATCCCCATGAACCTGACCATTAATTCCCATTGTGATACTCTTATCACGCCCGTATTATGGGAGAGGGTTGAGTGGGTAGGCGCAAACAATAGCACTGAACCAAAGAGTATTTATTTCAACATGAGTACTTTCCAGTGGCAACACGATTCTGATAGGGGGCAGAAATAGCAATTGGGAGGGAAACACTCTGGATGAATGATTAGTAGTCCGTGGGAAGAATTTAGGCGTTATATTGTTGTCATTGCAGTGTGGATGAAGCAGTACTGTGAACCTGCGATGTCTAGCCTTGAAGTCTAAAGTGCAGATGAGGTGGTGTTCATGCCGGTCATGCACGCGCTTTCCTCGACGGGACGCGCCTCTCCCTGGCAACAAGGCTGACCTCGCCCCGTACAGAAATGGCCTAGCCTTCTTCCCACCCACACCCACACCCGCACAGCCAAGCGAACCGCCCAATCTCCCGGCTCCCGAGCGTCCCTCCGCAGCGATAACATTTGATAAGGGAAAAAAGTTGAAAATCCCCTCCTCCATTCGCTACCAACATTCTCAACAGGTCGACCATCCGCCACAAGAAACGATGCCGAAAAGTTTGGAAAAGACCCGCAAGAAGATTGCAAAGAAGAAGGGCAACATCACCGCACTGCACGAGAACTCCCGCGATTCGCAACGGTTACGTCGGGCGCAAAATCGAGATGATAAATTGCTTCGAGTCGCATCGGCCAGAAAGAAGAATGACAAACCTCTAGGTGGGACCAAGGACTCTCTTTTGAAAGACCATGCGGCTAAACACCAGTACCGCAATTGATAGTCATTCGAGCAAAATACTTCCAAGAAACAATTCGAGCGAATGAAGGAAAGCCGTTAGAACTCGACGCCATACATGTCGCCATTTCCACGTGAGATCCCTCAGCAAGTTTCTGCGACAACTTCTGATAGCAAATAGATGGGTACACCAAAACGATGAGGAGTTCAGCAATTTGAAAAAGGAACGTCGCGCCGGTAGACCTGCGAGCACCAGAGAAGACCTCCTTCGCATCAAGATTGCTGCAGACGAGAAGGAATACGAGAGTGGCTTTTGTATGTGTTTTGGCAACAGCACCCGATGTTGGTTGATGCATTGACTGACTATTAAAGACATGCCAGACTTGACGGATTCCGATAATGCTGTATTTCTCGATAGATGGGAGGGAGATTGGTCGTACCTCTCCACGTTGAAATGGGTTCGGATTTCGAGAGGAGGCTTAATACAACCTACCAAGTTCCCTCCAAAAGGAGAGTCGTAAGCGGCAGATGTGGCGGAAAGAAATGAAAGCAGGCGTTGGGGGCATCATATGGGTAGGCGTAAAGGTTGAGATATGAGCTTAAGATTTGCAGCAATTTTTTCATATTGTTTACCTTGATCTTCCAGTAGAATCTTGCAGTAATGAGCATGAGCAATAAGCATGCTCACCTAGACACACTCTTTTGCATAAAATAATGTACGACAACATGAAATGTTGTGCAATAAAAATCCGGGGCTATCTGGTCCCACCACACCACAGCCTTGTCAAAATGACGCTAGTGAACGCGCGAGCCTCACGAGAAAAAAGTCGCTGGAGCATCAAGGTCTTTTCTCTTCTCATCAGAACCATCAACCAGCCCAATTGCACCCACAATCTGTTCCTCCCACATCACGATCATCCACGCGATCATGTTTTCTCTCAGGTCATTTGCCCGTTCTGCCCCTAGAGCAGTCTCCCGCTTGTCCGCAGCAGCAATCAGACATTCGACATCCCGAAGCCCCGCAGTACAAGCAGCATGGAGACCAACCAGCACACAGGCCCTTGCCGCATTCTCAAGCTCTGCGTTACGCAGATCAAAGGCTGCCGAGGGGGATGAGGAATTGATCGTGAAGCTCGAGTCCGAGTTGCAGATGGAGAAGGAGATGAAGCTTCAAGAGGGTGTTCCAACCAGTGTGAAGGACTATATTGAGAATGGTCCATTCGAGGTTATTGATACCCCAGGTCAGGAGGAGGTTGTTCTTACAAGACAATTCGGTGATGAGAAGTGAGAAATCTTTTTCGAGAGAACAAACATGAAAGCATTTTCTAACACAATGATCAGAATTCAAATTACTTTTTCCATCGCCGACATCAACTCCATGGAGCCCGAGAACGATTTTGAAGACCCAGCTATGAATGATGAGCAGGACGGCCAGTCAAACGAGAACTCCGAGGAATCTGCAGCTGATGGTGAGGGTAACGAGGAGGGAGAGCGATCATACCCAGCACGATTAAACATCATCATCGAGAAGCCAGGAAAGGGTGCACTTAATGTTGAGAGTATCGTCCAGGACGGCATGCACGTTATCGAGAGTGTCTACTACTACGCTGATTCCTCGTTCGCATATGCTAAGACTCCTGAGAAGATCCACAGACGTCAAGATCTCTACTCTGGGCCACCTTTCGGCAACCTTGACGAGGATCTCCAAGTATTAATGGAGAGATACTTGGATGAGAGAGGAATCAACACTGCCCTTGCTATCTTTGTACCAGACTACATTGACATGAAGGAGCAAAAGGAGTATATGAGATGGTTGGAGAGCGTGAAGAGCTTCGTTGAGGCATAGTTACTTTCTCAGTAATTGCGTTCCTGTCTTCATCTGTTGTCTTTATTATTTTTTCCACTCTTTGGCGCCATCGTGTAACATATTTTGTACGGACTAGGGTGTCGATACGGCCATAACAAAATAACGATATGAAGAACCACCAAATGTTTTTGGGCTTAACGTTGGTTCTCTGAATGCACAAAAGTTTGTTGCACGCGAACCCAGAGTGACCTATCATATAATCTTTTACTTCACTAATCATTCTTTTCTTCTAGAGTACTTACGAAGTAAAAGGGTCCTTTACAAGGCTGTTACGAGCACGAGTATTTAGCAGGCTTCTGCAAGGAAGATGCTGTATTGGTATCGAGTTACACGGTGTTCCTCCCAAAAATCCCAGACAAACGTTTCGAAACATTGCACCAGCCTTTGGCATTCCTCTAATCCCATTGGTGGGGAGTGTATCAACCAAACCGTTTGCGGAGCAAAAATACCCCGCAATCCCTCGGCCCGTCAATGATAAACATACGTCTGTCTCATACGCCCTGCTAATTCGTCATTGCTGGAATCTCTTATCTACAAGTATATATTAGGGTACCTCTTTCTTGTATATCCCAGACCCTCTTTCTTACCTTTTTTTGCCAGAATCGAGCTCTCCTTAACAGATGAATGTGAAAAAAGAAACTTGATTTCTAGATGATAGAAGTACATCATCCACCTCCAAACATGACAACCTCAAAACCTCTCCAACAATTCCATCTCTTCCCTAATCTCCCAACCGAGCTTCGTCTCGCAATCTACACAACCATAAACAACATCCCTCAAAATCCCATCCCCGCGCCCTCAAGATCCACTCGGATTCTCAAAATCAGCTTCGCCCCCACCCTGGACCGCTACATCTCCAACACCGCACCACCCGTCCTCCTATCCCTCTGTTCTGAATCGCGCAACCACATCAGCAAGCAACACAACACCACCCACCTCCTCCTAGGCCCCTCCTTCTTCTCCGCCCCCCAAACCAACATCCCCATCTCCTTTCCCACCACCACACTCTACATCTCCTCGCTCCACCCGGGTGTCCTCACTTCCTCCTTCGCCAACAACGTGCTGTATCACCTCTCAACCTCGCCCAGTCGCCACCAGATCGCCAGTCTCGCGCTCGATCTGAGGGTCTTTACGGATTTCTCGGATAGTGGGCTCTTGGGTGTGCTTGCGGGGATGAGGGGACTGAGGGAGTTGTGTTTGGTGTTGGAGTTTGGACGGAAATTTGAGGGGGTGTTGGGGTTTTTGGAGGCGCCGGAGTGGAGGAATGATTTGAAGTGGTATGCTGGGGCGGCGAAGGAGAGTTTGGGGGTTGAGAGGGGGAGGGGG